AAAAGCTATGGTGAAAGTGTAGTGCCACATAAAGAAAGTATTTGGCGAAGCCAAGCCTTTTCTTATTTTATTCTATTTACTAAATGAAATAACATGAAATTTGTATTTAAATAAATTTAAATGTTTTTCCATCTCTGACTGAGCCACTTAAGACTTGGGGAGAGATGAGATTTTCTGCTAGAGGGCAAATTTCTGAATTTGAGCCATTATGACTATACATATACCCTCCTGGAACATAACTTCACATTCTACATATTTAGTTACACTATATGCGGGATTATAACTCCCAAAACATAATTTTACGTGGGACAAGCTAAACATAATGCTAGCCAAATAATGGATTTTACTATTTATCAATAACAGCTCTCCTGCTCCAAATGTCAAAAGACCTATGCTAGGTCAACCAAGACTTGAGGGGCCTTCATTCCACTGTTTCCAAGCCAAGTACATCATGATAATTGAGATTGTCACAGTTCCTATGTAACACACACATATACAAACATGAATACACACACATGCTCTACCAACAATAAAGGCAAACAACATCTACATAAAAGTAAGAACACTCATATGAAAAATGCTACCAGCTAATTCACTTTCACTTATGAGCTAAAAAAGATTATAATCTGAAGCAAACTAGTTATTGATGAATTTATCCACTGGTAAACACCACATTTTCATTTACAGTGATTGTATACATATACATGTGATATTTTCCTATTAAATAAAACTGGTTTCTACTTAATTATTTCTTCTCTAATTTGTCTTCCAGAGTAGAAACAGAGAATGGCATATAAACCTGTGTTAACAGGCCATGCCACTTTTCTCTTCTTTGTTCTTTTTAATACAATTGTAAAATCATTCAAATGGTTTTGGTTGTGGTTATTACAGAATTAAATAGTGCATCCTCATTTTTCCATGCCTAGGCTCAACTAGAAATAAAAAGTTAGTGAATTATGATTCAAAAGTGTGGTTAGAAATTAATTTTTAAACAATAATTGTATTTGAACAACATAGGGCATGACATATTAGTTTATAAAATGGCAAAACTAAACATTAATTCATATAACAATGAAAGCAAATGGTATAATAAATAACCATTTAATGATGCTTTATTGTTTTCTGAAGAAAAGGATTTTATTCCCCCACAATCCTGTATTTAAGAACATTTCATATCCATATATACCAGAGGACCTATATCAACCTAGATTTTTCTTTGACACTCTGTCTCTTAAATGATAGCAAAGAGTTGTAAATACCAGTCAATTACATTTTGTTGCAGAAATTACTTCCATTTCATGCTTCTCTAATGTGCAGCTTCTATGAAATTACCTGTATTATCACAGTCAAAATTTTATTTCCATAAAGAACTATCATTGCATGATTACTCTGCCATGCAAAATATGCTAAAATTTTTAATTAAAATTGATTTAATCATATTTATATTACTTCATCATAGTAGCTTTTAGAGGTACACATCGAAATCAGCTCAGATTGTAACAACATTTTAATATACAAAACTTAAAAAAGGATGTCTTTCTCTTTACTTAATGTTTAAGAAATAAATGGTCAAAGATTTTTCAATTATCCCTTAATTTAAATGGTTTCTTCAAAAGGCATAACCTCCAAACGCCAATGCACAGTTAAAATTTTTGGTTTTCTAGAAGTTACTAAAATCTTTACAGACACCTTTTCTTAAGAATAATAAAGTATGATACAGATACATAATAAGCCTTAAAAAATACCTGAGAGGTCTTGCCTGGGGATTGCCTGCTTCTACATATGGATGTAAATAATCCTTTATGTAGAGGTCAGCAGCACTATTAGAATGGGTGCAAATGAGAATCCTGCTGAAATAAATGGTGCAAATAAAAAGAATGATAAAACACAAAACTATTCAAGCAGTATAATACCAAAAAAAAAAGCAGTGGCCATTTTAAAATTATACATTTCCCTCAACCTACTCAGTAACCTCTAACATATTATTCAATTATGCTTTTAGGAAATTATTCTTAAAGCTTAATTACTCTTCAAGCTATAAAGGAGATAAGTTCCCCAAATTATTTTTAAATCTATCGTATAAAATTATTTTTTAGAAATCCAACCCTTTGGGCTCTAACGTACATCACAATTCCTTAGCAGATGTGGCATTTTGATGACTATTTAAAAGCTACCATTCTCTGCATTGCAAATTTTTAAAAACAGTATGTTTTAAGAGAATTAAAATTTTAGCGGGGCTTGAGTGTGGGTCTTTTTCTTTCTTTTATATTTTTTAAAAATTTTTACAAGCTGGATGAAAACTGCCTCACTAGCCCTTGCCTTGTACTCACAGTAAGGACAGAAGTTGTGCCCTACTTATGAGACCAGAGCACACATAGCACCGCCTCACCTCGTTTCCTGCTGCTGGAGTATATGCTTGACGGCCTGAGCTAGAGTGAACGTTTTGCCTGTCCCATAGGGTCCGATGATGAGAACAGGAGGCAGCTGTATTGAAAGCGGAGTTGTAATGGCCAGAACAGCTTCCTTCTGTTTCGCGTTTAGCCGAGGATCCAACTGCTCATCCCATTGCCTATAGAAAATAAAAATACTATTATTATAAACACATGCATCTTACCAATAAACAGAACATGACACACAAGTATCCTGAATTTTACTGAACCATTAAAAATACTGAAATAGTAGCATCTATAAAAACAAATACTTATTCTGAAACTACTTTTTTAAAAAATTTCCAACAGAGTTGGTGTAGGGTGCTTTACCATGCTGATCAACATTCACTTCAGTTATCTTGTCCTATCCAAGCGCAAAAAGATTCTGATAACTAACCTAAAGACCTCACACACTGCTAGCACTTCTAGTCTAGCTGCTGCCAAGTCTATAAATAGTAATGGCAATGCCTCAGGAACTTAATTTCCCTCTGTTACATAAAAGCATCAGAAAACTTTTTTTCTGTTAATAATGTAGTAGTAGTTTCTTTGCATAGCAAATAAAATATAAAAGGGAAACTAATTGATTTTCAAGTCTAATCATTAAAAGATCTCTTGGTAAAAAGTAAAGCAAGGGAAAAACAAAAAACCGGTATGTTACTGGTTAAGAGATATCAAACTTTTACAAAGTTCTTAATTCAGAAAACAGCAGGGTTTTTTTGGTAAAGGTCAAACAATATAAAGTGTTTTCTAATATTTTCACACACAAATAATATACATATGTCCTATTTCTCAGGGTAGGGAACACCTGTCATGACAGCACAAATGGCTGCTGTAATGAGATCTATCTTACTAGTGTCCCTTCTATGACTTGGCTAAGTTTTGAAGATTTAAATGGACAGCAGATGCTGAAAGAGATCAAACTAAGCAGAGAATCAACAGGATTCTTTCTCATAACTACAATTATAATACTAAATTTTGCAACAACTATGGCAAAAATGTTAAGAGATGTAAACCAAAATAGGAAGGGTGTGTAAAAATGACTCTTAGAAAATTTGCAAAATGTCTACAAAATAATCCTGAAATAGGACACGATTTAGACAGGAAAATTCCCACTCTGTAAGGCTATACTCTACTTAAAACAGAAGCTAGTTATTTATGGAAGATTTTCTTAACTCTTTCAGTTTTAAAAAATCATAACCAATGTTATACATTATGATAGATAATTTCAAACAAGCAAAGAAAATTGTCATAAAAATTGTAAAATCCTAGAAAACAAATTTTAACCATATAAGCATGCCATTACTTATTTTTCTGGAATTTAAATTTTTTAAAGTAAAAAATAGAGGGGAGGGTATAGCTCAGTGGTAGAGTACATGCCCAGCATGCATGAGGTCATGGGTTCAATCCCTGGTACCTCCAGCAAAAGTAATAAATAAATAGATAAATTTAATTACCTCTCCCTCAAAAAAAAAATTTAAGTAAAAAACAAAAGGACTCTGACCAGTGGCACTAGATTCCCTGGAATTCGTTTACTAAACCTCCGAAGAATCCCTCAGCATTAACCAGTTTATTTACCCATAATTCTGCCAGTACCTAGCAATGCTCCATCTTCTATAAATGAGGAAACTGCTTTAGGTGACCACTAACATGTGGCAGATCTAGCATGTGGCAGACACTATAGACTGGTTACCCCCAAACCATCCATGGCACCCTTCTCTAGGGTGAACCTAGACTCTATAATACTCCATTTCCCAGCGTCCTTGGCTGAAGAGTCAACTCTGGTCAATGAGATGTAAAAAGAAGTCCCTCAGAAGAGCTTCTATAACCAATAAAACAAAAACAAAGCCTCACTAGAAGAAAGCCCTTCCTACCCCTTTGCCTTCCTCCTTCACCTGGCTGGAAGAAGCTCATGATAAATGAAGCTGGAGAAGCCATCTTATAATCACGAGGCAACAGGCATCAGGAAGAAAACTAACATGCTCTACATGGTAGAGAGGAGAAGACGACCTTGGTCCTCAATGGTACTGCCGAGCCCCTGCACCAGCCTTGGACCACCAAACTTAGCTCTGGGCTTCTAGCTCTACTTGTTTAAGCCACAGTTAACTCAACACACTGTTCCCTGCATCCATACCTGACCACGATGGTTCTATGATACCTGACCCCACTGGTTATGTAGATGGAGATAATGAAACTTGCACCAGATGGTTATTTTAAAGATCAAATAAGATAATACATGCAAGCTGTTAAGAAAAATAATTGAGAAATACTTGGAAAATTATTGTTGGCTTTTATTACTATATTTTCTGAGGATTTCAGAAAAATATTACTTGACCTATACGCACTTCCAAAAATCAAATATTTTTTTAAAACACCCTTTTATCTTCTCAATTTGGGGGCTTAAATAAACTTATGAATGAGACAGATATTAGATTATACATATATAAGTATAAATCTAAGAGACTAATGATAGATTTCTACATATAGTTCTAAAATAGATCAATACTTCTTTATTTTACTTATATAGCCCATTCTACATGTCAATTGTTTCAGTTTAAATAAATGCCTCAGAGCAGACCAGAAACTTTACCAGTGTAAGTCATCTCAATAGTTTCTGGTCATGAATGATGAATATTTATAGAAAGCCAATAAGTAAAATAAATTGGCTTTATTTATTATACCACCTGCTTACAATAAACACACTGGGAAAAGTCATCTCTGATTTTCACAATTTAAAATAGTATAAAGTCTCTCCAAGTTTACTCTGAATAAAATAAGAGTTATTTTCCTCCCTGAACCAAATTAATTCTAAGTTCTTTTTTTTCCTGGTCTAATGCATTGTATAATTTACAGACTACATGCTCAAGAATAACTTCTCAATTTCATTTATCTTTCGACATTCCACCTTATTCTAGACAAGATTTTAAATGGCTAATGGCTTCTCAATGTTCCTAGACCCAGATACATTTTAATTACTATTTAAATTATAGTGGTATAAAATCTCTTCCTGCTTGAAAATTTTCTGCTACTTGACATTTCTTTAGATACTTTTGCAGTTAACACTTGCAATCAGTGATATTTGAATATGCTGTTATATACAATATAATTTTCATAGGTGAGCGTATCAAGTAAACACCCAAAAGTTTACTGGTGTGGCCTCACATTTGAAACCCTAATTTTCTTCTTTAAACTTGACATTCTTATTCATTTAAGTGTGTCATATTAATAATGTACAAGGCTGTGTTGGAGAGTCAAAGATAAATAAGATATGGTCTCTTCTAAAAACCTCAGAGTCCAATGAGAACAGTAGAAATGTACACAATTGACAAAAAATAATTTTAGAGAAATTATGCTTGAATGTACAAAACTGACTGAACCTAGCACACAGTAGGCATCAATAAATATGTACTGAAATAATGAAATGAAAGGGTCAGATTCATCTACTTGAAGGAGAGAGCACTTGAGCTGGATTAAATCTTAAAGGACAGGTAGATCTTCAATAGATCAATACTGGGCAAAGATTACTGCAGGGAGAGAAAATCACGGACAGAAGACAGGGATGAGGAAGTGGAAATGCAGTGTTTAATGAGTATACAGTTTCAGTTTTGCAAGATGAAAAAATTTTAGAGATTAATTACAAAACAACGTGAGTATACTTAGCACTATTCAACGGTACACTTAAAAATGGTTCAGATGGTAAGTTTCATGTTATACAGATTTTACCACAACTTTAAAAGAATTTTTAAAAAGACAAGGAGGCAAATAAGAGTAGGGCAAATTAAACAAACTTCAAGGTCATTCAATATGGCTAGAGCATGGAGATTTAGAGGAAGAAAAGGAGTTGGAAAGTAGAAAAAAGTAAAAGAAATCTGAAAAGATAACTATCGGAAAGCGCAGTCAATGAGATCATACAGGAGGAGTTTTGTACTGCATATCAAGGAGAAGCCCTTCAGAGATTTTTAAGCAGTGAAATGATTATTCTGGAAAAAAATACATGGGTTGGACCACAGAACAGACACAGAGAGCAGGACTAGACTGACTAGAAGGCTACTGAAACAGTCTAGCTCTAAATTCAGCAGTAGATGTAAGGATAGGAAGAAAGGGAAGGATGCAGAGAAGCTGAATCAGAAAAGAGATGTCACTGGACTTTTACAGTAGTAGATCACTGATCACTTTTAGGAGAGTGAGGAAGTAGAAAACAGAGATTTCAGGATGAGTAAGAATACCAGAAACAGGTTGATTGTTCCTGCTCCAGAATTTTGGCAATTAAAAAAGGAAAAAAAATGGGGAAAAGATAGTATGGATAAACGAAAACAAAGGAGAAGTGTTTGGATTTTGTGTTGCAAGGCGTATTTTGCTTTGTTCTGTTTTTAGGACAGAAGAAATGGAATGTGAGGAGAAATGATTCGTCACTTCTAGGCCTGGCCCACAAAACCTTCCCACATGATGCAAAGACATGCAAAGAGAATTTAAGTAGAAAAATATTTACACAACCATTAACTTAAGAGCAGTTTCTGAAGTAGTGTATCTTCTATGATACTTTCTCCATTTTCCTAAATTATAAAAAAAAAGTCTTCTAAATTCAAAAATCATTTTAAATTAACTATTTGAACCACTTTGGAAAGGCCCTAATTTTCCCATTCAACCTCTCAGAAATAGTCCTAAATTGCTTGGCATCCTATCAAATTAAGGCTATTGAGAAAAGCAACAGAACGCATTTAGCCTCTGAGGGAAAGAGAAGAAAATAGATGATGAACTTCAAATGCATCATTCTAAGGGTTTTTACTCTCTCTTCTCAACTAATAACATTCTCTTGAAGAATATATGCATACTTTTTAACAAACGTATATTTGAGTTATTTGATACAGATATTCAATTTAATATTAACATAACTTCTTGAATGAGCTATCTCTTTTTTGTACCTGTTGGGACTCCAAGGTATGGTTGGAGTCATAGTGATGTCTGGAAACAAAACCCCATTGTCCTTGATCCTGTCTAACGCATAATGCATTTCACAGAGGGGTAACCGATTTAATTGAAACTGAAGTTCAACCTGAAATACAAATGAAAAAAAAAATTAAAGCATTAAAGCAAACTTCTTTTAATCTGTTTCTCCATTGCTGATTTAAAACTCAAATCAGAAAGCTTGACCCTGTATCAAACTGGAACACTTTAGATTTTTCTTAGATTAAAAACAATTGATTTTCTCTGAAAGTTACCAAAGGTCCAATTCTCCACTCACCAGTATTAACCCCTCAAAGTCAACTGCACTTCTGCTTATGGCTGAGGAAGGCAAACCAAAGCAGAAGGATGCCAGCCGACAAGGAGACTACAGACAACCACAGTGAAGCTGCCACATTTCAAAACCTACCTGTGTGTCATGATCAGGCCGAAGATTAAGTTCTTCACAGCATTCCCTGGATATCCTTAAAAATATATATTCTTTTGTTTTTTCTTCAATAGTAGCTTCATAAACCTTCTCTTTGGTTCCCTGGGTCTGTACTAACTTCTCTTTAGAGACTGGTAATAAATAAACAGCATTGACTTTGGTCATCACCAGCCGTCCAGCCAAAGTATCTTCAGAAAGTGTTTCAGTAAGCTTAAAGCGACCAAAAAGTTGTCCATTCTGAGCATACTTTGCACCTCCAGAAACTCCAGTGAGCATGAAGCTTGCTAGAATCTGCAATTGCACTTTAAGGTTGAACCTAAATTAGAAGTAGAAAATGAGTTTTAGTACTTAACATCAAAAACATTAAAACTAAAAGAGTAAACCAAATCAAATATAAACATAGAAAAATTAAAACTCCATTATTGATTCCACTGAGCTATAAGCTATACACTATCTTTCTGCCTTTAATCCACACTGGAAACAAATCTTTTTTTTAAGTGAATAAACTCTCCAAGTTTATAAAGATGCATATACTAAGTTGTGTTGAAGAATACACACATTAAGTCTGAGCATTTAAAATGAGGCTAAATATGATTTTTTAATAAAATGAAATAGCATGTATTAATTAATATGGAAGTCTGTTTGAATATACCATTAGGACAGCTAAGACTTTAAAGTCACCTAAAACCAAAAGGAAATGTACCACATTGAAACTACAACAGACTTTTATTAAACTGATGCTTTCCAAGTAGATCCTATCAAAAGGTTCTAACCACAAAATTTCTCTTTTCAATACTGTTAACGAATAACATCCAGAATAAATTTTTGTTCACAGCTACATTAGGGAAGATCCCACGCAGAAATTACAGGAAGAGCTATCTTAGTTACAGGCTACGTCGTTAGACAAAGGCTGCTGCACTCCCACTGACACATGCACACATAAGCATGAGAGAGAATATGTGTGTGCAGGAAACACTAGAATCAAGATTAATTTACAGTCAAGAAATATGAAGTGAAAGAAAGATTTAAACTAACAGCTCATCCCCTGTGCCATTCTGAAATGGTGCTGTAAAAGAGAAGACAAAGTGGTAAGAATGGGAACATCTACTTTTTCTTAATACGGTTTAAAAAATTTGAATGAAAAAATTAAATTGTTTTAAAATCTATATACCCATTTATGGAAAAGGCTACTTTTTAAAGGTACTACTGAACTGTTTTCCTTTCAGATCTTCTTTTGGATACATGATGTCAAGAATGTCATAAATTCTTAAGGGAAAAGAAAAAAAAAACACTTTCTAAAACATTATACATTTCTTTAATGCAAACATTTGTATTGTTTACAATATTAGGCAACTAATTCTAATTAAAACACTATAAAATTTTGAATGTCCATTTATATACTTTAAAGTTAGAAAATTACAAGGCTCGAGAAATATTTTAACAGAAATTTTTAAAATGTAAGGAAAGTAACACATCTGAACAGCTATGCATGCATTAATAAGTCATAGTTTATAAGCTCCATTAGTAATTTCAAAATACACTTACAGTAGAACATATAAGGCTCCGAAAAGATGTGTAAAAATATACTTTATTATAAATATGAATTTGGTATTTAATAATGTGGCTTTATATGAGGATCAAATGAATTCTAGGAGTACTCGCCGTGTATGTGTGTGTATATATGTGTGTATGTGTGTGTATCATATATATATATATATATAAATATGTGGAATTATTAAAAATGTTGTTTCTCTCATTCTCTATGCACATTTCACTAGATCCAAATTAGAAAAGCAGGATATATTTTAAAGAAATACAGACTGTATGTTACTTACGTTTGACTCTTTAAAGACTGGAATGTGCATTAAGAATTCATATAAAAATGAAAATGAAACAAAAGTATACTACCCTCTCCAGTTCACATATAATCTATGTTCATCTTCCTTTTAAAAAAATTAAATAAAATATATGCTTTACAAAAAAACAGGAACCTTTAGGTTATTCACACTTTTTCAAATGAAGTTAGATTTTTATTTTCTAAATACTATCCATATAACTGAGATGTGCAGTTATTAAAAATTTTCTCAGAGAAAAGAGATTCCTTACAGTACATTTTTCATCCACAACTGATCTCTTTATTGCTAAAGCTGATATAGCTTTCTCATCTTTTTTTTTTTGATTATTAGTACTTTGCAACCACTTTCCATTTTCTTTAAGCTCCCTCTTCCACTAGTTTCTGTAGAGTCATACTCTACTAGTTCTCTTCCTGCCTTTCTCGCTATTTCTTCATCTTCCATCAAAGCATCCATCCCACCCTCCTCTTACTCTGTAGGCTCTCAGTAGATGAGGCTGCCCCTCCCAGATCTTCAGCTCAGGGCTGTAAACCCAACTGTCAAACAGGGAGGTTGGACTATATGCTCTGCAAACTCAATAGAAGCGAAACAGAATCACCATCTGACCTCCCCACATATCACCCCAAACCATTCCTTCCATGTATTATACAATTTATGACACTATCCATTTAGGTTTCCAAGCCAGAAACCAAGCTATCTTTGGCCACATCTCTCTCACCAATCTTCATCCCCTACCGTACAATCACCAAGCCCTGTTAGTTCCTCTTACTCCTAAATCACCTGTGTCTCAACATTTTTAATTTGCATCACTGTAACAAACCCCCACCACGACTTCCTGCTTCAAATTTATTCTCCAAACCACCACCAGAGAATCCTGTAAAATGCAAGCCTGACAAAACACAGTTCTGACAGTTAAGTTTTTTTTGCTCTCACCAACCCACCCCACCACACATGTGCCCTCTGGTAAAATTACAATGACCAACTTGCAGCTTCCCCCAGAACTCAATGCCCTTATTCTCATATCCTGTTTCTTCTAACTAAATACCTTTGTCCTATTTCTTCATCTGACAATTCTGCCTGGTTTTCAAAATTCAGTTTAAGTGTCATCTGGTCCAGAAAGCAGACTTGATTCCCTCCTCGACTTGACTATCCTCCTTGTCCCTACTAACATGGGGCAGGTCCCTCTCCTGTGGGGCCCTTCTGCACTCCTCCATCCAGTGCTAACCACAAGTTTCGTAATCCTACATTTATAGGTCTAACTGCTCCACTGGATTATAAACTTTGGGGAAACAAGGAAACATAACTTGTTTGCCTTAGAATCAGCAAAGACTAGCCTAGAACCTAACACTCTGAATACTCAATAAATTCTGTTCTTTGAATTAATTTTACATGTTTATGATAATCTGACTTTTTTCCAGGCACCATATACCCATTTCAACTACTTTATATTATTCCCTGTCAAATTCTTGAAATCCTATGTTTTCTCAACTAACTTGGGCAATATATTAAAGGTTTCCTGTTACATATCTTTTAGAATCTGCCATCCCAAAACCTTTGATCACAATTTGGCAGGCACGAAAAATTAATCTCACAGTTTTAAAGCAATAAGAGAATCCTCTTATGACATTCAGTTGTACCCTGCAACAAAACCCTTGCAGCAGATGCACTAGAAAATAAAGGTACTAAGAAATATAGCTTTTACCACAGAAGATTCATCATATGTTCAAGATACAGACATCAGAAGCTTTCAAGAAGTTACAGCTACTAACATTTAATTTTTCTAAAAGATTAACAGGCTAAAACGAAAAAGACATTAGAAAGTTTTCCTAAGTATTTAAAATAATGTGCATTTTTGAGATTTAATAACTCAGAAATACCTGAAATACAAAATATAACCTATAATTATAATTTATAATTTCTAAATATGTTTTAAAAATCTGTATTTCTTAAAAAAAAGAAACATCTTTCCATTGTCACATGCCACATTTTGAAATCAACTTTAAATCTTACATAATTCCTAATATTTTAGGAAGTAGCAGAATGGTAGCCCACCAAAATTTTCAACCAATTTAAAACCATACTTCTAGCTAAAAGAAATATGGCTCCATCATCTTAGAAATAATTACACCTCTTGAGTGTAATTTAAAAAAAATTTCAAAGCTATATAGTGAATTCCACTTTAATCAATTTCTGACTAAATGAACAACAGAAAAATCAACCAAGATAGTAAGCCAATAAGTACCTGGGTTTACTGAGGCAGAGCATCAGAACCAAGGTATAACCAATCAAGGCCTGGGGCACCTTAATGATGAAATGTGTACCCACACAGGCCTGTCATGCCAGCTTTAGTGCTGAGCACCCACCACACCCCGATCAGGCATGCCATGACACACTTCAATGCACACGCGCTCAAGAACTTCAGCCAAAGTCAATTTCTTTTGATAATGCGTATCTTAGAATGAAATAGATTTCACTTCAGGGTAGAATCATTATTGAATGCATGCACATCAACAAGTAGCTAGAGGACAAGAGAAATTTTTTAAAAATCTTGAGAGAACTCAGAAGCATTCTAAAACTTAAATGATATGCAGTATTATCTTTACCACCTTCACACATCTCACACTAAAACTCAACATAAAAAGAAAGCTTGGTATCTGGACTGCTTTGAAAAATCACCTTTCTTAAAAAAAAAAAAAAAAAAGAGATAAATCTGATTACCAAATTCAACCTCAAGCCAAAATAAATTTCATCTTATCTTGAGAAGCTTCAATCTATTTCAAAAAAGGAATGTTAGGATGATCATGTAAAAGTACAGGCATACATCATTTTATTAAACTTTATTGTCCTTTGCAGACACTGCATCTTTTTTACAAATTGAAGGTTTGTGGCAACCCTGAGTCGAGCAAGTCTAGGCGCCATTTTTCCAACAACATTTGTTCACTTCATTGTCTCTGTGTCACATTTTGGTAGTTCTTGCAGTATTTCAGACTTTTCCTTATATTATTATATGTGTTACAGTGATCTGTAATGTTAATATTGTAATTGTTTTGGGATGCCATGAAACGCACCCATAAAAGACAACAAACTTAACCGACAAATGTGTTTGTTCTAACTGCTCCACTGACTGGTCATTCCCCCATCTCTTTCCCTTTCCTCAGGCCTCCCTACTCCCCAAGACACAATAATAATGAAATTAGGCCAATTAATAACCCTACAATGACCTCTAAGCAGTCAAGTGAAAGGAGGACTTGCATGTTTCTCACTTTAAATCAAAAGCTAGAAATGATTAAGCTCAGTGAAGAAGGCATGTCAAAAGCCAAGATGGGCCAAGAGCAAGGCCTCTTGCACCAAACAAGTTGTGAATGCAAAGGAAAAGTTCTGGAAGGAAATTAAAAGTTGTACTTCAGTGAACACACAAATGATAAGAAAAATAAAAGTCTTTTAAAAGACCATCAATGGGCCATGACAAAGTCTTGGAGTAATGAAAAATGTATTATACTCTATCTGACTTTTTTACAAGTATTTAATTTGAAATTAGATACTTCTCAAAAATTATACCATATTTAATCCATAAATAGAGTAATACAAGTTATCTTTAAGTTTTCACTTTTCCTTGACTGGATATATCCCTTAAAGAGTGTTCAGTATCTATTAATAATATTAATGATGAGGTATCAATAAGGCAGCTTAGAAAAGAAAAATACATTGGTTAGGCTGTATTTAAAGGAAAAAATACCCTTCAAAATGTGTCCATGTTTTAATGCTTGTGGTTCGATTTTTAAGCCTCATTCTCATTTTATCTAAAAAGTAGAATACTATTATTAAACACAACTATTTCAGTAACATCTTCCTTCACTCAAATTCTCATTTCTAAGATTATTTTTTCTGTGATGATTCAAATAAGCTTTTTTTTTGACATTTAATTCATCAGTATTTATTTATTCTATGAGGACAGTTCAAATCAGCTTTTGATTTAAAATACTTGGTCTTATGAATGACTGAAAAATTGTGCTGAACACTGGAATTTGACACAACATTGTAAAATGATTATAAATCAATAAAAAATGTTAAAAAAAAATACTTGGTCTTACCTGTGGTGTATGGATAAAATGTAAAATATGTCAAAACATTTATAAACTGCTATAAAGGTATTTTGTTACTATCAAATAGTTTTCCTGATGACTTTTAAGTTGTTTCATTCTTAAAATTACTTTTCAAAATATATGGTCTCTTTCAGTTTTTGTACATTTACTCAACAAATAATCACTGAGTGCTTGCTCTGGCTACCATGAACAGAAACCTGCTGAAGAACAAGGAGCAGGTGGTTTATACTCCCAGCACACGGCAAAGAGTCTTGTGGAAATGAACTAGGTACTAAAGCCTAGGGATGCCAAGATGAACACAGTTCTTGCCTTAAGAAGCCCATATACCAATATTGGATAGCAATCGTTTTACTAGCTGACTTCACTTAGGCACTCCTCCATATTTTAAAAATAAAAAATACCATCCAAAAGGGAGATCTAAAAAAAGAAAGAAAGAAAAGTGTTTCTAAAGTAACTTACTTGCTGACTTCCTTATATTGGGCTATCTCCTCAATATAAAGAAGGTCATGCAACCGTGACTGATAGTTGGTCTTGGTCAACGATTTGTCTAAAACGGACTGGGTAAATAGCTGGTCAGCAGAGAGAGGAATTTGGTATCTGATAAGAAGGCTCTTCTCCAGATCAGTAGTTTCATTAGGTTCAAAATCTATAATAGTCTTAGAAGAAGAATCCCAACGCTTAGCTGTGGTTACTAGCTGCTGTTTTGCATGCATCAGGTATTCAAGATCTAAATGGAAACAAAAAGCACATTTATAAAGGAATACAACATTAAAATTCTCAAATAATACATTACGCATTTTGGTAAGAGAATTTTATATGCTAGAGCTAAAATTCTGGAAAATCAATCAGTACAAGCCCCATTTGACAGAGTATTTTCCCTGTATCAGAAACATTTTTTGTCTAGTTTAACAAAATAACAAAAACAGGAATCCATGGAAAAAATATCCTTTTTTGTTTTTCAATATCGGGTTAGGACCTACCAGAAATAGTTATTAACATTTTAAAAATACAGATTAACATTTAGAACTCAACTCTTGACTTTAGTCAAGAAAAATCTGATCTGCAGAAGAAGGTCTGATAAATTCCTCATAAGATAAAATCTATCAGGTAATAATCACTTTTCTCCTCTTACTACCAATACCTGCCCCATTATAGAAAGAGATCAGAAAACTGCAAGAGGGTAAATTTTTTCTTGTGTGGTAAAGCATAGAGAAACTCTCCGAAAGTCAACTTACAACAAACAAAAAGCTTTTGGTTTTTTTCCCACATTAAATTTCACATTAAAATGTGGTACAATGTACCATTCAAATGCCATTTCAGAAAAATCCAGTTTAGCCTCAGCTAAATTACACGGTAAGTAGGGCACAATGTCAAAATGAATGTCTGTTCAAGTTCTGACAGCTCCGGGGGGGAAAAAAGTAGCACAATACCAGGACAGGGTGAAATATACCGGAACATAAATTCTGAACACTGGGTAGGCTCACTCCGTCTGCAGTGCACATTACTTTTCCACTGAATGGAACACACATATACCTATAAATATAAAATTTGATCAGAAGAAAAAAAAAGGTGCTTAACTGACTCATTAGGCCAAGATCCAGTTTTAATATAATGTAATTGGAAAGATGGTTTCACAACTCAAGCTAAAATTTTAGGAAGAAATAAGAAAGTTTAAGCAAAGATCGGTCTCCAAAGAGCAAAGACATGTTATCCTGTGCTATCTCTGAAATGAGAGCATAATGTATAATTGCCTTGTCTTGCTTACTGAGAGATTTTGCTATATTTAAATGCTATATATAAATCATAAACAGATAAGTATAATCATCTATCAAAATTAATTCCTCAATATTAGAAAATAGCTTATCCTAATATCTTAATGAAGAGTAGAATATAAAGGCCCTAATTTAAATATAAAAAAAATTTTTTTTAAGTAAAGACCCTAATTTCTAAACTTTACTCTTCAAAAAGGCACTTTTCATGCCAGTTTTATCATTCTTCAAATGACAACATAAACACAACTGTAATAATCAAGATAAAAAGTTGGTCTTCTTAAAAATTTGCATTTTTAACAGGGAATTATATTCAATACCTTGTAATAACCCTAATGGAAAAGAATCTGAAAAAGAATAGAGAGACCATAACTGAATCACTTTGCTGTATACCTGAAACTAACACACTGTAAATCAACTATACTTCAATTTTTTTAATTTGCATTTTTAAAATACTCTGGATGAGATAATGATTTGTTCTGCAATAGCCTCGCAAGTAGAAGTTTCATAAACTAAACTAAGCACATTTTCTTCCTAAATCACTCTACAATTGGGCCCTGCCTTTTCATTCATTAGATCATAGCTCTTCTAACAAAGCATCCAAAGGGTTGGTTTGTTTTCTCTTGAAGTATATAGTACAGCAGACTTGAAAATTACCCTTAACAGGACCTAGACGGTAAGAAAAAAGTAAGGAGAGAAAAATCCAGTGTTCTACGTACCCTGCACAAGGGTTGACACAGAAGAGGCATGCAATAAAATGCATGTTAAATGTGGAATTTATTTAAAAAAAAAAAAAAGCCATACTTATCTAGGACCTAAAGAGAATGAGATGAAATGATTCCCAGTTCCAAAATCAGAGACAACGCTCTTCCTCAGGAAGCATTCTGGTCTGTGGCTTTAGAAATCTTGACGGCCCAAATTATAAATAAAACAAAATCCAAAAGTAATCTCAACTATGATTTCGGCTATCTATTTCAACATCATTCCTTTCACTAAAACTGCTACATAGAAGTAAGATGCACATCTCTTAACTTATCTATGTTGTCTGTTTCTATGTTCATTCTCTTAGTGAGGCTAATAAAAAGTTAAAACAGCAGAGCAATAACATAGGAGTACCTCATACTTTTTACATGCTTCTACTCAGTTACATTTATCTTTTGTTGACAAATACACTATTTTCAAGTCTATTTTTCTATTAATTTTCTGATCCCATAATAGTAAATATTATATGTTTTAATACTATGTCCTTAATTTACCAACAACTTTGACAGCTGGAGATAATTTTTAAGTCATACTAACTTTTAATGCTAATGTTAACAATATACTGCTAGACTCAAAGTAATGTGTAATATCAAATTTTCAAATCTAGGCATAAGAATTAATTTTCAACATGTAGTTTCCAGATATTCAAAGCAGAATTTCAAATCAATTTTGCCAAGCAGAAATTTTCCATTACCAAAGTTGTGGTATAAAGTATATGATGCAATTTGTGTTCTAAGCAAGGAGAAAACTAACTTCCTTCTTTTACGGATGTCTTTTGCCACAAATTTGTGAGAAGCACATCTTTAATCCCCCCCAAAATTTTTTAGTTCATATAGTATCTTTTTCTGTATCTGAATCTCACCAACACAGAAAAAATAATGAAATAAGCAAAGTGAAGGCTATACACATTTCCTGAGCAGTCTGCAGTTCTCTAACAACTAGAGAAAAAAAAATTCACTCATGGCCTGCAAATAGAAAAGGTTGGGATACTTTAGACATTACGGCAATAACGTAAGGAAAAAACTGTTAGCATTTTTCCCAATTCAAATTTGAATTAACTAAGTAATTAAGATTTTTAGCTCAACATTGAACAATGAATTAAAAAAGAAATGTCCGCTATATAACTTGATTTCAAATTTTAAGAAGTAATGCACTAAAAAAAAGAAGAAGAAGAAGAAGTAATGCACTAATGTAAGTTCCATGGTGAACTGAGTCTTTAATTATTGAGGTGCACTGTGAATCCCTAAGAGGGAAATAAAGCATGCTGCATTTCCAAATGTATCTGTATATGGAAGTCATTACCTATTAAGTTCAGTTTTGAAACACAGTTTTAGAAACACTAAGCTAATAGGTGGTCTAGCATGGTCCTAATTTAACCTTATAAAGAGAAATATATGTTCCCAGCATTAATTTAAGGACAAAAACTTGCTTAAACGATGAACAGCCAATCAGAAGTAATCAATATAAAGATATTTCCTTTGTGGAGAAAAAGGAACCCTCCTACACTGGTGGTGGGAATGTAAATTGGTGCACAGCACTATGGAGAACAGTATGGAGGTCCCCTGAAAAACTAGAAACAGAATTACCATATGATCAATCAATCCCACACTTGGGCATATGTCCAGAGAAAACTGTAATTCAGAAATATACATGTAACCCCGCGTTCACAGCAAGATATGGAAGCAACCTAAACGTCCACTGACAGATGAACGGACAAAGAAGATGTGGTGTGTATATATATATAATGGAATACTACTCAGCCATAAAAAGAGAAACAATGCCATCTGCAGCAACATGGATGGACCTAGAGATTATCACACTAAGCATAGTAAGTCAGACAAAGACAAATATCATACATCACTTACATGTGGAATCTAAAAAATCATACAAATGAACTTATTTACAAACCAGAAACAGATTCACAGACACAGAAAACAAATGTATGGTTACCAAAGGGGAAAGGGGTCAGGGGGACAAATTAAGAGTTTGCAAGAAACAGATACACACTACTATATGTAAAATAGATAAACAACAAGGACCTATTATATAGCACAAGGAACTATATTCAATACCTTATAATAACCTATAATGGAAAAATCTGAAAAAGTATATATATTATGTATACATTTATTTTAATAACTTAATCACTTTGCTGTACACCTGAAACTAACACAACACTGTAAATCAACTACATTCCAATAAAAAATAAACCTATTTCCTAACTAAATTCTAGTTTTACCATCAGTACATATCTCTGTGTGTGCACAAACCAAATTATAGTATGGTATAATTTATAATATTATCAAAACTGCTTGGAAACATGATAAAACCCAGACCTAATCCAGTTCCCCAATTCTCAACTGTATTTGGCCAACTTGTACCTGGAACGACACTTTTCTCCTAATTCTAGTCAAAGGAAGATCAAATAATGAATAACCAGGCTGTCACATTGTCACCAAATCAACAAAGAAGTTCTTTTGCTCTCAAATGTCTTAATGTTATCCACACAAGTATTACAGGAGAAGATACAAAAAGGACACTGACATTTTACACTTTTTGTGGTTTCAAATGTTTTATAAAACTGTGATTTCACATAAACAAATCTTTTGCCCTCGATTTTTTGTTTTTTTTTGTTTTTTTTTTTTTTGCTGACAAGCACTCTGCTGTGATTATCAAAAACACTAACATCAACATAGAAGCAGGAACCAAATACTATACTGTTTATATCCTGCCTTCATTTGTCTAAAATTCTGTTAGGACTGTGGACACAATCACACTGAAACAAATACAGTTACACAATAAAAATTTTAAGACCTTAACCAAAATGTCAAGATATTCCATGACATCAATTATAAGAGTAGAAAACAACAGACAAAGACAGAACTAAAAATCAGCACAACAGGTCAGCTAATTTAAGTAATGACAAAGTCAACCAAATGTCATCTAGCTAGCCTAAACCTAGGTTCAAGTTTTTCTAATGTTTAAAATATCTTGTCAGAAAATACATTTTGTAGATTTTATATTGTTCTCTTGTAATATTTGTTTTTCCTATGTCTTTGAAAAACAAATTTCACTATGTGAAATTGTTTTATTTCCAAATTAGTTCAAGATAATGTTTGATTTTGTTCAATTATTTTCCATAACATAACAAGTTAGAAGTAAAACCTTGTTTAAAGGAAAATAGTCAAGGATATCAAACTGCATAAAGATCACTAAGAAAAAGGATATAGTATTATAAAAGGGGGAGGGAGGGTATAACGGTTCCTAATGTGGAGGATACCCTTGTCTGTATTAACTCCCGTTACTAAATCTGAATGAAATATAAATTTTACTATATTTTCAAACTGATACATTAAAAATATCAGAAATGAGACTGTCTCTTCCAGTTTCCAGTCTCAGAACATCATTCATCTTGGACAACTCCTCTTGCTGAGATCTGTAGGTGCTATGGGCCTCAATTACTTGGGTTGTTATCTTTGCTTTTCAGTCCCGCGGCTGTACCCTAGTCTTTGTCCTCATTGAAACAAAAAAATCCTCCTTTTCTCTTTCTACCTTCTTCATTGTTTTTAAACCAGAAATTATCTTAATAATAGTTAATGATAAAAATAGCAGCTACTAAAATGGAAAAGGATCTGAAAAAGAACAGATACATATATTATATATATAGATGTATATGTCTATATATAATTGAATCACTCTGCTATACACCTAAACTAACACACTGTAAATCAACTATACTTCAATTGAAAAAAAAATTGCAGCTACTATTTACTAAGTGCCTATTAAGTGCCAGATACTGTGCAAGGCTTATTTCTGTTTCTTACGATAATCTTCTACGACAGGTATCACTAGCCCCACTTCACAGATGTTTCCCCATGAAGCTCAGAAATGTTAAGTACTCCACCCAGGGTCATATAGGAAATAAGCAGAAAATCAAGATTTGAATGCAACTCTATTTACTCTGAAGTCTGTCCACTTCCCTTTTTCTCGAACTAGAAAAGTAGCACAAAGCTGAGGCAAAAGTAGTCAGAGCACCCTCAACCTCTCAAGCCCAGGAGGGTGCCCTGAAATCGTCATGACCACCTTCCTTTGTTCTCATCTGCTTTAATAATATCATTTTCTCTTACATTTTATTGTAGATATTTAAAAGTTTATATTATTAATTAAACAGGCTTTTTATTAACTAGTACAGATTTTTGACAACACTTACAAACTTATTTTTATGGGAAATGAGTCATGAGTTAAAAGCCACAATCTAAAAACAGCCAAGAACATCCTTTTAGAGTTACATTTGAGAGTAGGGGATAAATTTTGGTCTCTCTTTATGATTTTAAATCCCCTTACGATTTTAAAAAGGGTGCTATCTAGTAGTCCTCAAGTTCTAGTTGCTAAAAGCAACGCAGTAGTATAGGAATAAACAAATCACTCGCTGCATACATGACAAACTCAGCCTGCTACTGGTTTTGAAAATAAAGTTTTACTGGAACATAGTCACACCCATCCCTTTACACATGTCTATGGCAGCTTTCTCACTACAGTGCAGAGCTGAGCATTTGCAACAGAGATCATCTGCCCTGCGACACCTAGAATACTTACTATCTGGCCCTTTACAGAAAAAAATTTGCCAATTCCTTTACTAGTAAATATAAACCAAATAGTTTCATTTCATCAACTATCATATCTGTTTGGCTACAGGAATTAACATATTTTTATTCCAAAGAGCAGTAAGAAGATGACAAAAACAGAACACAACAGAATAAAAACAGGTAAAAGGGATCAAAGTAAGCAAGAAATATGAGTAAAAAGAAGTATGGGTAATAATACTAGCACACATGCAAGAAGGTTATGCCTAAGTGTTCAATTTTGGCACAAGTGTTGCTTACTGGCAGCCAAAGGAAAGGAGGAGACAAAACCAGTTCCACCTGTTCACCAGGTCCAAAAAATAAAATCTGAGCACTGCTCATGAAAAAACTTCTAGGTTCTCATAAATGGAACACTGTGGACATAATGAAAATCCTCCCCGGCATGGTCAGTCACAGCCAAAACAACAGCAAATTTCGTACAACTCCACTATACAAAGCATTTGTTAAATAAATATTTAGGGTTCATGACATAAAATAAAGCACCTGTAAGTCCAACCAAGAACCAAAAAAACATGTAGACTAACATGCCGTTCCCTTGTCCTGTTGGAGCTTGGCAAAAAAAAATAGGTATAGGCAGTAGTACGACAATTTACAAAGTAAGTCATCATCTCCTGCAGGTGCCTGCAGGTTGAAACCAGGGACCTCTTCCCAAGAACATGAAGCAGATCCTAATAAAGGCACCTTGGTCTTCTTTATACTAGTGAACTCAACTTACGAAAGCTTATAATTTAGGACTTTCCATTCAGAGATAATGTATTAATATCAGCAAAGTTAACTGGAGAGTCAGTCAAACATGGAAATAGACATTGTAGGTGTATTCACAATTACAGTAAAATGGTATTTTACTCAAACTAATATTGAAAGGTTTTACTGTGCTAAAATTACCAAATGAGATTGGTAGACCAAAACAGACCTGACTATCTACTCATACAAGTCTGGGGAACCTTCAAAGCAAGCTTTGCCAGGTGACTGTCTACAGTGACCAGGGCATACTGCAAACCATCCTAATCCCATTACACAGTAAATGAGTCAATTAATTTGGGATCTTTTTCCTTACTATTCCTTCTCTAACCATGGAATATTTAGGGGCCAATACATATCTTTTAATGTCGCTGTTATAGTGCCTTTTAACACATCGTATCAGGGGAAAAAAGTCTAAATATTACCTTCTGTAGAAGCTGCATCAATCATTACTCTTTGCATGAGTACTGGTTCCAATCCAAAGTCGAAAACTATGGTTTGGCGAAAAGTTCCAAATATTTCTGTGTTAAATGCTATCCCGACTTTATACACGTAATGATCTAATCCATTTTGGGCCATCTTTCCTCCTATCCATTCTTGACAGTTTTCTGGGACTTCTTGTGATACCTGGGTAGTACTATCTCCGGCAGATATTGCAATGATACTAAAATGAGGACGATGAGCATCATAAAGCAATGCTACACGATACAGCATTCTTGCAGGCTACAAGGAAGTTAAAATAATTCATTGAGTACAAGGGGATGAAAAATCCAGTTGTAATTGGGCTCTTCAATGAAAATATTTCCATAAGGGACTTTTACTTTCCCATGCTTCTAAGTTACTATGTTAAAAATACAAATTGTACTCACAAGCCACTTAAGAAAAAAAGCAGAACAGTTAAAAAAAATCAGTTGTTAAAATGATATATTTATGATGTCAATTATACCTCAATAAGGCTGAAATTTTCAAAAATGATATATTGATGCTATAGTACTAGCCTCCCTGCTCTTTCTGTGATACATTCATCTTTCACTGTGGCAAAAGCTATCAGCTGTATCACCATCACCTCCAACTTTCCAAACTCTTGGCCTCAAAAAGTTTTGTCTAGCCTCAAGTAGGAAGTCTTCATAGGAGGGCAGTTACCTCGGAAGGCACTGGATTGGGTTCACGGCCGAAGCTAAATGTTCCCAGATTTTTCATGTCAAGCTGCAGATGGTTGATACAGTGGAAGAAATGCCACCAAAAAGTACACAAAACTTTTCCACTGCACATATTCACAGAATTTTTTTTACTTTGCTTCATTCTTAAACTTTGAATATTACAATTCAAAATAGGACACACTGTAGAAAATCTTGTATTTAAAACTCATTATTACAAAAGGTGTGATTTCATCAAATCAAAAATAAAAACAAGCTGTCACTGTTTGAATATTTTAGAACTGTCAAATTAAATAATTCAAATTTTAAATAGTTAATTATAAGCCATGAACCCCATCCTATGTTTCAAGTTTGTAAGACGTGTCTTTACCAAAAAAATAAGCAAGCATCTAAACATCTACAAAGAACTTATCTCAAAAATCTAAACAAGAAAAAAAAATCTGTACCTTTAATGATCAAAATACAGAAATACACTTTATCACAATATAGAACCTACATAAAAATGTACTTAGGGTAAAAGATTTTCAATGCTCTTTCAACACAGAGATTTAAAGGTCCAAAAAAGCTTTAAGGAAATGGAAAAAAATTTTACTCTCTTTAACTGGTACAAAATTCATACCTTACAAGTGAGAGCAAAGGTCCACGTCTGGTGCGACTTTTTGGTGTTGACAGTAACCGACAGGTCAGGGTTATGCTCTACCTTTACTCCTTCTATGCATTCACTAAGCTGAAATCAGAGAGCAATGAGTGTTAATGTTCTCATCCCTAAAAACGCCAACGACAACTTTTGGCATGTTAAATAAATGTCAATGGTAAGGAAGTTGATGGCACTGCTTACAAAGCAAGGTATTTTATACATTAATTTTCAGTTATTTTTAGAAGAACAAAATATAGTAAAAGTCAAATAAGAGACATAAGAAAATTAACAATAAAAAAGGTCAGTTAAAAACTCCCTGAATGAAGATAAATTAATATAATACCTGTAAATCTCCAAATAAATGTCTTAGTTCTGCTCTTTATTTTAGCAAATGGGTCTACTTTTGCTATTAAAAACACTTTGTCAAGAATCAAGTGTTTCATATAAAGGATAGGGAAATAAACCAAAATATAGCACAAAATAAAAGTCAAGACTCAAACAAGGTCATTGTTTAAAACAAACAAACAAACAAAAAAATGCAGTTATTTTCCTCACCACTTTCTCAGGAGATAATGAATTCATCCACTTTTCTATCAAGGTTTCCATGTAACTGCCTGAGAGCTGTTTATTCTCATTTTGCTGTTTCAATTTTATCAACCGTGAAGCATATCTTTTCTGCCATTCTGCTAGTTCTTCCTGGGAATGTGCTGAAGTACACTGGGCACCATACCTACAGATTCCTTGCTCTAAAAATCTAAGTAGAATAGGAAAGACTGTTTTATCATATACTTTGTTGGATCATTTAAAAGATAAACTTCCAGCATTTGCCCTCTGACTCTTCAATAACAAAAACAAAATTTCATCTCCTGAAAGGCCATATTTATCATGTCTTGCTCCAAGGAGGAAGAGGCTCACAGAACATTTACAACAGTTAATCAAACAGCAACCCCCCAAATTCGCTGACCTCTTTCTTTGAAATAAGGGGATGCTAAAGCAGAACATATAACCACCCTCCACCCACAAAAACTGGTAGTGAAATGGTAGCTTCCTTCATGATATAACAACTCTGTTAAGACAATTCCTCTTAGAGCAGAATTTCTCTAAAGCAACACTGACATCAAGTGGATTAGTTCGTCAAACACAGGTCTGCCCTACTTCCCAAAATGATGTGACCTAAAGAAAATTTTCCACATGATGAGAATTTCATTCTGAAAAAAAATGTAGTATGCCATTGAATTAATATTTCAAGCCTTCTACTTTCCACCTTCAAATATAATTAATGCCTTATTCTTTTCTACCTTACTATCATCTATAGCTCATTGAAAATATTGGGCTATATTAATTTGCTTGAAGCTTTAAATAAATTAAGAATAAAAGTTTTCTATGAGAATCACAATTAATTTAAATTCTTCAGTTGGTAAATTCATAAATGTTCATTTTAAAAGACAAAGAGTTCATGATTTCTCAATGTTTATGACTCAGAAGATTCAACTGATAATTCAATGGTCAAAAACAGATAAAAATGCAAGACTTTGGTGGAGGGTACAGCTAAGTGGTATACTGCATGCTTAGCATGCATGAGGTCCTGAGTTCAATTCCCAGTACCTCCATTAAAATAAATAAGTAAATAAATAAACATAATTACCTCCCCCCAAAACAAAAACAAAAAGACTTTGATTAGTAAATTTTTTAAGCTTCAAATACTCTATAAATAATAGTCCAGCCAATTTTTAAATAATTAAAACATTTAAAAATTAATAAAAGATCATCTGAGAGAAAAAATAAAAATTAAACTATAAATAGCAAAATGGATAAAAGGGATGTTATATTATAATTTTTCAATTTGAAAAATATGGATAATAAGAAATATAAAATGAACCACAGCACAATGTAAATTATCAAATGGTTCCTCCTACATGGAAAGATGTGTATTTAAAGCTTTTCTTGATAATACACAAAGCATTTGAACTCAAAGTATGCTATTTATTAAGTTCTCTTATGTTTCATAAGACACATTTAAATCATGCATTTGTTTCTTTTAAGTATGCCTTAATGAGTCAAATATTTCTTTGTTCTTCTATTGCTTTATTTTAAATTATTTCCCTAAAAATGGAAGGTCTGATATTCTTACTTGGACTATAAATTTTCTCATATTTCCTCTGCATAGAATTGTATTTTATCTCTCCTACAACACGACGTCACCAGGATTTTCAAAATTTACTACTTAGTTTCTTTATTTCTACTATAACATCAAGTCTGATCTCTTGACTATTCAGTCATCAAAACTACATATCAAACTTCCTTCATTAACAAAAGCAGTTAGAGTAATTAGAACCTATATTCAAAAAACCCAGTATTTACTAGTTCTTATAAAAAGAACCTGTCTAAATGTGGCTTTAATAATTCTTTCTACCTTAATATATAATTATTAAATTTTGAAAAGTAAGCCCTTCAAATATAAATTACTCACAAATCCTATATAAGATTACATGAAGATAATAGTTTTTTTCAGAAAAATTATCAAAATAACTTAACATTTATCTATTTTATGCTCTATTTCAGTTTATATAAGGTAATTTCAATTTCAATCACCATAATTTAAGTAAATTTCGTATAAACAAGAGACCAGCAATTAAGTCATAATAATCCAACTGGAATTATAAAAATCTTAATCTCCATTTAGATCACTGTTGTTTATAATTAAAAGAAGGTTCATCAATATGTTTTGATTTTTATTATTTAATGATAATGACCATTATGGCTTCTGCTTCAAGTTGAAAATAAATCATTTTACTCAATTCACATATTCTTCCTTCACATAGTATATTCTTTAAAATTTGAATTACTACTTTTCAAAAAGTGAAGGAAAATTAACTATCCTTTGAATAAAGACATGTCATTGGTTTAAAAAAAAAAATCACGTTACCTTTTACACAAAGTATATTCCTCGCTGCTTGTGATTCCCCTAGGTGGTGGGCGGAAATGCCAACCATTACAAGATCCTAGAGAGTAATCAGGATATAGTCTTATCATTTGAGGCTTGCTGATAATTCTGATATTTTAATGTGTAAGAAATACTATAAACCCTCCACACACATCATCTCAGATGATGTAAAAAGGACATGACATGCTTGCCTCTACCAAAAGAGTAATCCACCAATCAAATGAATTAAATCAATTAACCATATGAAACTTAGAAACCACTAAGGAAGCAGCTACACAGCAGCTAAAACAAGTCAATGACCTTGACTTTATTCCAGCAACTGATGGCCATGTTTCCAGAGCAGGTTCCTCCCTAATATCTGAAGGGGGGATATTGGCATGCTTGTCATTTTGCAAGTATGAGCTGTGTCTCTATTAGGAATTACTTCAGGAATGAGAAAATTATTGTATTCTGGAAGGAAATTTTGTAAAACAAATTTCAGTACTACATATGGAGTGAGAAGCTCCACTTTACCGTCCAATGTTTCTTAGGGTTTGTCTGACACATGTCACTGTATAAAATAACCCTTTTTTATAACTGAAATGAAGTTCAAAGAGTTGAATTCTGAGGTAGGAGCTCAAAAATAACATTAGTTTACCTCCAAATACAGTGAGTTTTGATTCATTTGGGAAAAAAAGGTTCCAAATAAGCCAAGAAAAATAAAGCTTCAGAGAGAAAAGGCTAGAGCCACAGAGGCTGAACAGCAACAAGTTTCCAAGTCATTTCCTATCTCTTCACAAGTCACTGTGCTCTAATCACCTGCCCCCCACCTAAAAAAGACATTCAGCCAGGTTGAGTTTAAAGCTGTGTATCTGTATTACTGGGAAAATTACTGAACTTTGATAACCATCAGTTTCATCACCAATCAAAATGATGGAGACGGGCTCTAGGAAGTTACTTATTTGTTTTTGTGAAAGCCACTACACGGTACACATCATGTAGCAAGCGCTCAATGAATGTCGGTCTCTTCACTTTCCTCTGGCGAGAGAAGAGGAGATCGTGGACTTTAATCATGGCAGAAGCAACTCAGCCTACAGACCAGAACTTTCAAAAAGTAGTAACTGTACTATCCTGGGATAGAGAGAGAGACAGAGAGAGAGGGAAAGAAGAAAAGACCTCCCTCTATAGATTACTAAGAATGAGGTTTAAGTTTAGAACTAATAAGTACACGGAGGAAAGATGAAACAGGTGACTTCTGGAGTTACCTCCGACCTCCATTACTTCATTATGAAAAAGGGCTGGTGAAAAAATTGCTTCCATCCACACTACTTCTTAAAATGAAACTTTTATATCCTGTCCTATACCTCCACTAATATGTACTGTCACTCAGTAAATTTCCTACCAACAATCAATAAAAAAAAGCAATGTCTAGGATCACAGCTTGGTACTTACCCTCTTCTAAGTCTTCCACGTGATATCCAGAGAGGACGTTACTAGTTGCTGTCTGCAATTTTTCAAATGAAAGATATTTTATAATAAGAAAGAAATAACTAGTCAATTTTGAATTAAACTTGGACATAGTCAACATTTTTTAAAAGCTTGAGTTTAAATATTTAGAAATTCTTAATAAACATTAATATTGCAAGTGGTATTTTTTGCTCTTTGCTCTACATTAAACTATATTTAAATATGGAAAAGAAGTACTTGTGTGGCCTTCATTTAAAAAACTGATAGAGATTCCCTACATAAAAATTAGCTGGTAGTAAAAGAAGAGAAGTCTCAGTCCCCAGTCCTGAACCCCACACTATAGCACATTCTATCCATTTATGTATTTCACTCTCATCTTCTAACCTCTAGAGTATGACCAGCTAGAGCGGTGCCTTTTGTCCTGCATCGAGCGCAGCACCACCACTTCAGGGCCTGGGAGCACATCCTGCCAAGCTCTCCTCGCTCTGGGATGAGCCATTCTCCCACAGTGGAGCCCGTGGCTGGGGACCTACTCACTTTTGACTGCCCGGTTTTCTTGACTACCCTGGTGCAGATAAATCTGCCCTTCTGGCTTTAACTTTACTCTGACCTCCATACCCCCAATTTCAACTGAGTGCCAGCCAGGGTACTTTTACCTAACTATCCAATAGCATTTTATAGGCTGGATCATTGTCAGCCATGTACAGATCCACTGTCAACAGCCTGCAAGTGCCTTTCTACATTCCTGCACCTCAGAGGATCTGTCACATAATGAATGCCCAGTATATCTGGATGGATGGGTGGATGGATGGATGATCACCCAAGCACTTCATACAGAGTTATGTCTGAAATAAAATTCATCAACTTTAACCCCAAATCTCATCTTCCTACAGTATCCCTTATCTCAGGTTAATGGATTCATCTTCCCTAAAGAGAGCCAGGCTGAAATCCTGAGAGCCATCTTGAACTCTCCATTTTCTGCCCAGCTCTGAGTATTCTCCAAATCTTGCCCAGCCAGGTCCAGAGTGTCTCTCATGTCTGTCTCACACTCCACCCTCACTGCCAGTGTCCTAGGTAAGAACCTCATTGCTACTTGTCTCATCTACCCCTTAACCAACCAACTGCCAAGTCACCTCAGCTTCCATCCTTTAACCTCAGTTCCCACACTCCAGCCTCCCGGTTTCCCTGCCGGGTGCTAATCTCTCCTCTCCCAGCTTGTATTTCCATTACAGCACTTACTGACCACAGGCTGCCCTCTGGGTACATTAGCTCTGTGCATCTTGGGCTGGCCCAGCAGATTGTTCTTCATGGATATCTCAGCTTTCCAAAACCCACAGAGCCTTGAACAGTACAAGCACTCAGCAAATGCTGAACTGAATCAGAATGAGTAAACAATATCTAAAGATGAAATTTAGAATATCTTGTATCACAGAAAGAATGTCATAAATGCTAGTTGGGTATAACTGAAACAATAATATCATCATAATTTACATGTCATTGATTAAATTGGACCCTTTTTAGGTTGGGCTGGAACTAAATAACTAAAGTACTGTTTCAGCAGGAAAATCCCTTCTGATTCTCAAACTACTTATTAATACGTTTTTAAAGACAACCCATTCTTTCTATAAAATGAGGACTGAATATCAGAATATAACAGCTAACAAATAAATCAGGAATAATTGTTCACACTGCAAGGATTCTATGCTCAACAAAAAGACACACTAAAAGATCCTTTAAAATTCTATAAGCAAGATCTAAGTGCCACAGTGCCACACCAGCCCTTAAAATATGATTCCAACTAAATAGAATTTATCAGAATAAGAGCTAAAAAATTCACATAAAGTATGAATTTAAACTATCTCCTCTGAAAAAATTTATCAAAATAAATTTACCAAATATGTGAGAAGAAATGGGAATAAAATGTTTCAGTGACAAAATAAAGCCAAAAGCATTTATAATTGTTAAAAGGGAAACATACATGGTGTATTTCACAAGTCAGCATCTACAACAATCTGCAAGTGGGCAGAGTATGGCTGTGCTGACACCATAGTTCTCAGACTGGTGGGATCTGGCCAACAGCATATCCTCTTCAGGAGAGCTGGTAGAAATGAGAAGCTCAAACCTGGGCTGAATTTGGCCACTGCGGCTTTTAGGTTGCAAGGTGTTGTGTTCGTTTTTTTTTTTTTTTTTTCGGGTTTTTTTTTTAACATGTTTTTTATATGCTCAGACCCCAAGACAGAAAGGCAGCAACCATCAGCTTATGATCTTCAGTCTTTACTGAGATCTTCAGGGAAATCAGCCAAATTTCATACTGCTAGAATTCCTATGAATTTACAATCAAATCTATTGATTTGGTATTTTAAATCTGCTAAAGGATATGTATTGCTTTTGTTTTCATTAGTCAGCCTTTAGTTCCCTGTCTGTATCCTAATTCACCAGCATTTATAAGTTAAACACCAGCTCAGCCCAAACTTTAAATAACAAATTGTTGCTATTTTTAAATATGTCAGGTACAATAATAAGGGCACCATTGTTTGTTAGCTTTTTCTAAATGGATTTCTTTTCATAGTATCAGTTCACTAACCAAAAATAATAGTGCTTTAGTTACATAGAAAAGAAATTATTAACAAAACTTAAGTCACTTATTCCAAAACTACAGCCACAAAATAGAAGTCAAGTGATATTTGCGGCCTTATACATAACAGGATTATAAATATTAAAAATAAAATTTTATATATATTTGAGATTATAAAATGGAAAGCTGGTAATTCAAGAGAAGAACAAAGCCAAAAACCTTAATAAAATGAAAGGTCATCTTATTGTATGTTCGCATTTTAAAAGTCTAAAACATTTACAATTGTCTTCTTTTACTTCTTAAAAAATTAAAAACACTATATATATACAGTAAGGGAAATGGTTTTGAAGTTAGAGCATACTGATTCTCAGTTACATCATAACAAGATAACAGAAGACTAAGAAAATAACATTTGTTAAGTCTGTTCAATTGTAGCAAAACAAACAGTATCTTTACCCAGCTTATGTAATTTATAATGACTATCTTCCTTGCTTACGTATTTGTTGGTATGAACTATGATATATTATTAGATTTGAAGTGGGAAAGTAATCTATATGAGGTCAAGGTTGACCCTCAGGGTTCGCTTCATCCTCTTGGCCTGACTGGAGTGCCCTCCATCTCTGTCTCCATGAGATCAGCACCTTCTCATCTCTCAACTCTGCTGAAGTGTCCCGTCCCCTCACCACCATTCCATCACAGTGAGCTTATTCTTTTCCATCATACCTAACTTGCCTCAACGTGAATTACACTTAGAGTTGTTTAATTTATTCTCTATCTCCTCCCTGAGACTTGAACCTCCCAGAGGACAAGGACCATGGGTGTCTTGTTCAGTGCTGTAGTCCCAGCACCAAGCATAATACCTAGCACACAGTAGGTGCCAATTTATAAATAAAATAAGCCAATCAATCCCTTTACATGGGCTTCCATTTATGATAAAAGCTGACAAAAATGGCTATTTTTAAAATGAGACCATCTAAATAAAAATATTTTTATATGCCTGTATGAGGAACGGAAATGTGAGCCTCACAAAGCCACGGGCCTTTTACACTCCACTGCTGTCCCTGGCCTTCCCTGCATCATTCAAGTGCTTCACCAGAGCACATTTTTGTTCACTGTTTCCTCTGATACACATTATTTCCATCACCTAAACTCATTCCCTTAAAAATAGTCCTTAAATCACAGACTTCTTTTAGTTGCTTAAAAACACAGAAGGCTTTAGGAGTACCTCATTTTTAAAGACAGTATTTTCTAACAGCCAGATGTAGTTAAAAACTAAAATTTCCCAACCATCTTTCCATTTACTGGCCAGCAAGCTAAGAAGAACTGGGACAACAAAAGACCTGGGAAGCACAGGCACCTTGAAAGGAATCAGTGTTCCTAGGATCGGACCAAACTGGGTTATAGGAAGTCAGAAGGTTCCACTACCCCGCCTTTAGAGCCTTGTGGATCAGCCCAATGATTTTCCAAATGTTAATACAGAACACTTACTAGCCAGAATGAGTTAAACTCTTCCCAAAGAGATCCATTGAAATAGTCTTACCTCTGTTTCTGTGAGAAGTGTTTTTAGTCTTGTCAAATCTTTTGTTACCATCCCATTCTGAAAGGGCAAATGAAAAAGGGAAAAAAACAAGCAGTATATTAGTTCTTTCCTATGAGGACTTAACTCCTCAGCTGTTTCTAAGGTATATCCTTAGAAAAACAATGCTGTCCTCATCTCCCACCCTCACTACCTTAGAGGTGATAATAAAGCTAACCGTCTATACAGAAAGTTAAAAAGATGAACAGGACAGAATATACAGTGTGCCCTAAAACACTATACTCACCTTGCATAAGAATTTAAAATTAATTCAATAAAGTATTCAATAAAAATATGTATAACCAAAGAGCAATATAAGCTAAATAAAGAGAAAAAATAAATCAATTTTTTAAAACTTCTTTTTCCTAAAACTAATAGGCTGTATTTGCAAAATAGTGAACTCAGTTACCCATGACTCAGATTCACAAAAAATGATCATACTGCTTAAAGACAGCTCATTAATAAAGCTGTTGAAGGAAAATATTTTAAATATGTACTCTTCTGAAATTCAAGTTTCACTTGAGATTTGAAAGCGAATTACCTCTTCCTAATTTTAAATTTAGAAACCCAACAGGTAAAACTGTGTAATATGCTTAACTTATGTAAAGTTCCTTAACGATAGAATTATCTAAATAGTAAAGAAGAGATATATTCTTTACTATCTATTTAGAACTAAATAGCTATATAATTTTGTTTTATTAATAATACATTTTAGCTATTATATTCATTTGTTAATTTGGTGAAATAAAAAAAAACAGTGTTAAACCAACTAAACAATTCACTGCACAATAGTTCCTTAGAAAATAACTAAATTTCCCTCTGAGATGGAGCATTATATTATACTCAGCAATATTCCAAGTACTTTCCTAATTTTTTTTTACTAAATATATATTTATTTGCAGTGAAAACACAACTTGGCTCCAGATTTCCACAATTTATATTAATTCAGAAAAATAAATAAGGCATAGGGAATTCATGCTGCATAACAAAGTACACATATATTTTCTTGCTTTCACTGATTTTCATTATAATTTCTGGAAAATATCAGCAAATTTTGTAAGTTACCAACTGGTGAAAAAAAGTTCTCTCTCTTTTCTTTCAGTTTCTATAGATTGCCAACTCTAAAGTTCAAAAAAAGTAGTCTTTCAATTACCTCAACCAAAACAAAAACTCTAGAAAATTAAATACTACACACAAAAAGTTATTCCAAAGTCTGAATATAAATTTAAACATTTTATAAAATAAATGGTTAAAGTTAAGAACCCTATAAGATCATATGTCCACAGGAGCATTTTAAAACTCAAAAATATTTTCAGGTTCTGTTAAATTATATCTTTAAAGAAAATCATTTAATTTCATTTAGTATTCTATACTTTCAAAGTTCTAAAAAGTATCTCCAATTCTTATACATATTATCACAAACTACAAGAATCCAATGATTAAATACCAATTTGTTGAAGAGAAATAAGTCTCTCAAGATTTATAAACTTTGATTTCTGACAGGAGAATGCAAAGGGACACAGAGGAACATAGGTAATACACCTGAGCAGTCAAATGAATGAATCCACTTTTGAACATTCAAATTTAGAACTCATCAACATACCAGGGACTCTCCTGTCAGTGACTTGGCAAGAATGCTGGATACAGGTTGGAGCTTGCCTTTAAGCTGCATGCAGCAAAGCACTGTCTGGAAGGCACCATCACCCTTGGCCAGCCCTTCTCCTAGCACTGCCACAAAAGAATAGCCATCATTAACCCCAAGACATTTAATACACGTTCTTCTCGATTTTATTATCAGCACACTATCAAGAGCATGACTTCTTTCATGCTAAAAGAATAACTACAAGAGAAAAGCAGTGCTGTTTCAGTTCTAAGACATACATAAAGACAAGAAAAAACATGGGGCAATCACCATATCTAACCCACTACAGCCAACAGCCAGGCAGGATCACACCAAAATCACACGGAGAATTAATCTTAAAGCTCTCCAGTGAAAATAGTGTTCAACCTATGATTTCTGGGTAAATGAGGACTATTAAACTGCAGAAATATTCACTGAATAAAATTCTCACTTTTTGACAGAGACCCAGTGCCACTAAAATGCATAAGAATAGAAACTGTAAACCTCAATATTTGATATTCTTAAGCAATTAAGAATTAGCTTTTATCAAAACCTGCAAAATTAACGAAGAACTCAACTGTCAAAAGGTAAGAGAAAATGCTACCCAAATTGTTTGCCAGTGTTTACAGATTTAATTTAATATAATCACAAGGAGCACATACAAAATACACTCATTTTTATGCCATGTCATTTGAGACAATTTCTCACAACTGCTAATGGTTCAGCTGGTAAAACAATCTATATCCTCTTTACTGCGGAGTCCAAGATTCTATTTTTAGTTTATACACACTTCAGCTTCCTTTGCAAGAGAACAATTTGCTGAAAGAAAATATTTCGGAAATTGCATTTTTTTCTGATTATTTTCAAGGAAATGTTTTATTTAAGTATCAGTATAATATACTGCATTTAAAGGCCATTGGGCTTGTTCATAACATACTGATGAACACATCCTTTTGTTATATGATTCAATTTTTTATTGCACAAATAACATAACAACATTAATAAAATTAGACATAGAAGCTCACCATGCGCTTACCACTCAACAAACTGTTTTTACTTACTCATATTCTCTTCCAATTTTGATTAATATTTACATAATTTTTCACATGATTATGTGATGTAAATATAACTTAAGTCCTCCTTCTGCTTTACTTCCCCTTGGCACATTCGATACTTTCCATGTTATGAGTGTTTATATTTATATCATTACCTATCTAATGTTTCATCAAGTAGATACATCAATTAATTTATTCTGTTCCCTTGCTCCAGAACAGTTCCAATTTTAACTATTAAAAATAACACTGCAATAACCATCTTTCTATATATTTACTTTATTGAATTTTATTCAATTACTTTCAGTTTAGGCCAACCTGTTGTCTCACTCCATCCACGTTACACATCGCTCATTGCCTCAACTGACAATCTCAATACGTGAGTAATTCCAATGATATATCGTTAAGAATGTCTTGAGTATCTTAACAAAATTCCACAGTAAGCCCACATCTCCCTCAGATCTTACAATTCCTAAAACTATTCAGATCTGATCTTTGGCAAGTCATTTTATCTCTCTGGCCCTCAGTGTGGTCATCTGTAAAACTGAAACACGTAAAAATGTGTTGTAAGGATCAAATGATACAATGCAAGTAAAGTTGCTCTGAGGAAAAATGACAGTCCTCCTAAGGTCTGGATTACTTACATTCACCAAGCCTGTTTCATGCCCTATAAAATGCAGGTGAGAGTAGCTACCTAATAAGGTTGTAGTAGAGATTAATTGTGTTAATTATATAAAGTATCTAGCACAGTCTCCTTGTAAGAGTTCCCTAGATGCTACCTTCTCCTCTAAAAATTACAAACAGTATTGAGAAGGGCTGAGGAAATATCGTAGTTCCTATTCAGCAACTGGGATAGGAAGAAACTAGTTGTCAAAAGCTGAAGAATGTTTCAGGGAAATGAAAAAAATCTAAGAATATTTCAATCTTATATTACTATGTTATGTTTAAAGAGTATTAAATGGCATGAAATTTTACAAACACCTTTCATAGATCTTTGAAAGGTATTTGTTGAATTTTATTTTGCAAAGTTTCTCCCATTACATTCATGTTTGAACGTCTCAATATTTGTCAAAATTAAATTTCCCCTTCCCCTCTCTAAAAATTTTAGACAAGAAGCATTAATGATGCACTTTCTTCTAGTGCGTCTTTAAACGCAATTCAGTGTATGTCTTGCAGGACCCCACATGAAGAACTATGGCAAAGAAACCGTCAGCTATTATAGATAAAGCTATCCTGCTACGGTGTCTTATAACAAAGTCAAACTGCAATGCTGCCAATCTGTTCCCATATTATCTTTAATATCTTGAAAAAGCTTGAAAGAAAACAAAGTGTAGCCTAGTGTATTATAAAACATCTGAAATACGTCTTACTTGGAATGTTTTGGACCAGAAAATGAGTAACATTAAAGGACTATTTATTCAACTGCTTCAACAAAAATCGCCTCTGTAAGGGTTTGATAAGCCCCTGGCTATCAAAAGGAATGGATTAACAGTTAAAATATAATTTCCCTGGCTCGTAAACAATTACCTGCAATGAGAAAGGTAATTTAAAACAAGCTTAAAGTTCAGGAAATGTTGAGTATTACTCTGTATTTTTCTGTATTTTACATTTTCAGTAACATGACCATACTATGTTATTTCTTTCGTCAAGTCCTTAGTTATTTCTTAAATCTTTTATTGAAGAGCATAGCCTAACCAGGGTAGTATTTTTCCAAAATTTTCGAAGAAATTTTTAAATTACCATTAAACTAAATCCTTTAGACATTAATAAAGTGAACTTATTCACTGCTTGGATATAATCACATTCTCAGGACCAATACATCAGGAACTGAATGAAAAATGAAAATAGATTTATTTTATAAATACATAAAATAAATTTATAAATAAACTCCTTTCCTAAGTATAAGCCACTTAAATTTGACAAGAATTGTCAAATGTATATGGGGGATGTTATATAAACAGACTCCAAACAGTGGAAGACCTAAATGAGGTTAAAATGTCCATTTGTCACGAGTATCAAAAAGTGTAACATAAATCAGAATAACTCTGTGGCAAACTTCTCACTAGTGTCCATTTTTCCAAATTGGTTTTTTTCCCACCATTCTTCTCCTCTGCCTCAGCCCTTTTACTCCTGCCCTCTCTTTTCTTCCAACTGCAACACACAATGCTTTTAGAGATGTGGGCTGCAGCTTTTGTGGCATTTTATGTCCTTCCTACCAAGGTCTTTTACAGATAAAATGTTTCCTTTATAAAATGCTTTTAGAAAATGAAAAGCCCTAACAATACTCAATATTAGGTATTGCTGAGACCTCTTCTGAATATTTTATCTCCAGCTTTAAATACTAAATATACTTTCTCTCATTCTCTCCTCCCACCCCACCCCCCAATCCCTGTCACCTTGCTCTTGCTCCTTTCAGTATTCAGTCCTTAATCAGGTCACAAAAATATTTCTATCTCTTTCACAGCCTCCTTGGGTGTGCAACGAACTTTAAAGCTAAGATCTAATTGTGTATTTCTGGAAGTACTCTTTCTTTCAGTTGCAGTCCTGTGTAAAGATTCCAGGACTCCTTTCTTCTGGATGTTTTCACATTACAGAAACATAGGTCATTTCTCCTGGTTTATTTCCAGTGTTTAGTTTAAATATTAGAGCTAATTCACTGAATAGCCCTCAACTTCCTCATTACTATACAAATATAAAATAATTATACATAGTAAAAAGCTGGTAACACAAGCATAAAAACAAACCTGAAATCTGGTTCCCCAGAACATCATAGAAGGTTTTTATTTCCTCTACATATGCTTGAATAAACTTTTTACTTAAGGCACTGTTAAAATGGTATTTGCAAAAGTAGCCTGTCTTACACTGTGTGTGCATTAGAGAGACAAGAGAGAATTTGCTGCTTGCAGAGGCTTCAACCTTCTCTTTATAAAGAATCTCAGTTTCCAGTATGCATTTGCTATTAAGTTACAGGAAAGTTAACCTCTGTTAACTGTTCAATAACTGAATTGAGATGCTGTTTCTATTTTTAAAAATCAATTTAACTGTATTTTTTTAATCTTAAAAGTCTTCCACCGCCTTCATGTCAATTTCAGAAGTCAACATCTTGCCATCTCCCTCGTAAGCTCTCAGAGGAAAGCCTGACTGGGGAGAAGCCTCTGCCAAGGCATTCCCTTACCTCATTGTTTCCATGGTTGATTTGCTTACTTTAAAAAAAAAAAAAATTTGCCTACTGAGAAAAACTCTAATATTTTGCTATTCTCCTGACTATTTTCTTGGCCCTATGGGAGAGGGCTGTATTTTCAGGTGTTCACAATACTCTTAATTTTAGTTCCCTACTTTGGTATAGTTTTTACTGAGATTTTATAAGACAAGGTACCACTCATTTTCAATCTTCTCTTTTTATGTATAATTTCAGTAAATATAAAACTAATGTTAATATTTATTGCACGAGTGAAAAACAACATGAAGTACATTTACAATGTCACTCATGACCATAACTGACACCCTGCATAAATAAGAAAAGGCCTAGAACAGTCATACAACCATGATGAGACATTTGCAATTGGGTTAAAAGGATAGTAAGTCAAAAGACTATTGCTTACTTAAATATCTACTAATACAAAAAAAAAAAGAGAGACTCTGCATACTAAGAGAATAACAGTCCTCAAACTTAATTCATATATTAAATAAACACTCACTTCCTTGATTTATAGTCTATTCCAAAATTAGTATTCTATAATTTAGCTTTTTATCCCTATCAACTTAAATATAAGAACTTTACTTTAAATAGTTAATAGGCATTATGGAGAAATGAAGAGTGAAAGTCAAAATCCTATTCCAGAAAGCCTTTGGTTTCTATTGGAGAACAACTGGTATAGCCATACTGTGGAACACTACTCAGCCACAAAAAGGATGAACTAATAATAAACACGAAAACTTGGATGGATATCAATACGTGATGAGAGAAAAAAAAGTCATCTTAAAAAGGTCACATACAGTTGGTTCCATTATGTACTACTTTCAAAATGACAAGATTACAGAGATGGAGAATAGATTAGTGGTTGCCAAGGGTTACACGTGGTGGGAAGGCGGATGGTGAGCGTAATCATAAAGGGTAGCACAAGAGAGATCTTCACTGTGATGGATTAGTTCTGCATCCTGACTTGTATTGGGGGTTACATGAATCTACACATGATAAAATGACATAAAATTATACATATTCTTTGAACAAATGTCAATTTTCTCGTTTTGATATTGTTTTCTAGTTACGTAAGATGTAACCAGTGGGGAAAAGGTACATGGGACCTCTCTGCACTACTTTTGCAACTTCCTGTGAATCTATAATTGTTTCCAAATAAAAAGGTTTTTTTTTCTTTTAATTCCTGTTGGAGAAATAAAAGTTTATATACATGAAATTAAAAAAAACATTTCCTATAACTGGATCTAAAGAACAAGTAATTAAGAAATATTATTGGACTGCATCCCTATTTAAGTCTAGTCAACAGTAAAAACTGGATGGACTAGAGGCTTGAAGATACAAATTCTTGTCCCACTCAACTAATGATTATCTAAGTGATCCTGAGCCTCAGTTTTTTCTTTCTAGAATATAAAATACCTGTTTGCCTTCCCCCGTACCAAGTTTATCATACCAAACAGAATAATGTCTATAAAACCCTAAAGAACACACAGGCAGTAGCTCAGGGTAAAGAGAAGGAACACATGGCCTTTTAGATCAGACAGACCTCACTTCAAAACCACAGTTCCACTCTAGAATGGCTCTGTGTTCTAAAGCAAGTTACTTGATCTCACAAAGTCTGTTTCCTCACCTATATAACTGGAATGATATTACAATGTGATTAAATAAAATAACCTATCTCAGAGGGTCTGACTCAGATGTAATTCTGAATAGTTACCCCATTAACTATTTTCCCCCAAATTTTAATTGTCATAAAATCTATTTAATCAAAACTCTTCAGAGAAGGAAAATGTGAAAGGTTCAATCAATCATGTATCAATTTGTCTTTTTTGATACAGTCAGCATCTATTCAACAGGGGTTTTTGGTTACTGAATCATTTACTTCACAGGGCAAGTATCATAATAAATGTCAGTAGATGCCCCAAACTCTTGTTTGTATTACTTTCTTAAATTAATGACACTCTCAGCTAGGGTTTAAAAATCTTGCAGCCTTATGAAAAATATTCTTTGATGTATATAATGATTGAATTTGACCTATATTTTACATGTAGCATAATACTCTTTTAGTTAAGACTATCTTTTGATTTCACTTTCTCCAGTTACCTCATTCCATTTTGTCAGTGTAAAAAATGTGAGTTTCCTATATGATGAATACGTCAAAGGTAGAAAAAGAATCTTTATTTAGGAAAGTTTTCCTGTTGTGCCAAACACAACTTAAGTTCAAATAATGAAAACAGACTTCACCACCTCACTTACCCAGTGGTCACTGGCTTGGCAACCCTCATTATCCAGAACACACCACCAAACTCCATGAACTTAAAGCCTGTGTAGTTTATTTTCCAGATGCCCTTGAGTCCTCACTTAATCTATTCCTTATTTAAGTAGAATTCCAACTTTTAAATTTTATGACTGATTAGTTTCTGGTTTCGACAAATCAGCCATTAAAAAAACATTTTTGGGACAACCAGGTAAATCTGATCATGGATTGGGTTTTAGATAACACTAGGGAATTATGGTCAATTTTATGAGGTTAATAATAATATTAGGGTTATACAGTTATGACCTTATTTTTTAGAGATGCATGCTGAAGTATTTAAGAATAAATATCATGATGTCTATAATTGTTTTTAAATAGTTCAGGAAAAATTAATGAAGTAAATATGGCAAAAGGTTATAATCCAAGTTTCAAGAATATGAATGTTTATTATACTATTTCCCCTACTTCCCTGTGTTTTAAATTTTTCATAATAAAAAGTTTTTTTAATGTTTTTTAACTCCATGACAAAGACTGCCTGTCTGATTTCCTATCCCTGACTGAGAAAGTGAAACCAGAAGGTCAGATGCAGCAAGTGGAGAAGAGGGGGAGGGAAGCTGCAATGAGGCATGTTGAGAGTTGCAAGGAATGCGAAGTGACAGCCTGGACAGTAAGGGAACAGACACTAAGACAATGCTGTAGTACATAAAATGCAAACATAAGTCTGGGGCCAGTAAGGCAGGAGCTGCTCAGGCTATCCAGTTTACAAAGCAGTGTAATAATTAACACAGATTGAGATTCTCATCCTGCTTCTTATCACTAACTGATTGTCTGAACATGGTATTTTATCTTATATAAAAATAACCTTGCTGTGCACCTAAAACTAATGTAATATTGTAAATCAACTATACTTCAACTTAAAAAAGAAAAGTTACAAAAAGGTGAAAATGAAAAAAACTACACATAAAAGTAGAACTCTACAACTAGCAAATATATACCAGTAAACTTGGGCAATATTCCCAAATGTTGACTTCAAATGAACAACTTTATACACATTTAAGTAAGCACTTCCACGTTCTTACTTGTCACATAAATGATAACAAGGAATGCACAGAATGTAATCAATGAACCTTACTGCAAGCTAACCAATTTTCCGCTCTTCCACACAGCACTGCAATGAACACCATTCCACAATTTTTCCCTTCTTTTGGAATATTTACTTGGGACAGTATCCCAGAAATGGGATTAGTGGGTCAGACGTATGAACATACTACCAAGCTGTATTCTGCTTCATACTCCACCAATACCACAAGCATACAGTCACTTCACTATAACCTGATCTCAGACACGGGTTAAACTTTTTCCCCACATGACAGACACATAATCAGTATACCAACCCTGCGTATCATTAATGTATACAATTTGGTGAGTTTGGACATACACATACACTTGTATTACTATGATCACAATTCAGGTAACAGATTTATCCTTCACCTCCAAGGTTTCCTGGTTAAATTTTTATTTTGGTAATTTAGTGCTTGTAAAATAGTATCTAACTTTAAAATAGTAAGTAAAACAATTACCAGAAAAATGCAACATTTTACCATATGCTCCTTCACCAATAGTATTTATTCTGTGACTTTTCATTTAATCTTCTGGGACTTTGTATGTCCCCAAATGAGAAGTATCAACCTCACTAATACTCAAGCAAGTGAAAATTAAAGAAAGAGAGGCTATTTCTCACACATGAGATTGTCAAAATGGCAAGACTGAGAGGCTTCAGTGTTAGTGAGATCACAGGGACTGGGCATTCTCACATACTGCTGATGGCTGTGTGCATTTGAAACTAATCTAATGATGTCTATTAAAATTAGCCTAGACAACCAACTTTTAAGACTAAGGACCTAGAAATAAAGGCAACGGTAAGAAAGCATGTATGTTTATTATAGGATGGACTATGACAAACTAGAAAACTCGAACCACCTAAATGTCCATCAACATGAGAACAGTTGAATACATTATGGCACATATTTAATACGGAATATTAAGCAGGAATTGGAGCTGATGTATTGTTAACTTGGAAAGATATCCATGATCTATTGGTACAGAAGAAAGCAAACTGCTTTGTGATGATCATATGACTCTTTTTTAATTTTTAAAGGAAAAACCTTATCTATGTATTAGTAGCATTTGTGTTTATCACTGTGGAGAAAGGTAAAGAAGATACAGCAAGCTAATAACATGATTTCTTCAGATGGGGAGGAAAGGGAAATGATTCCCTTCTTCAGATTCCTCTATCTTATCTGATTTATCATTATCTTGCTTGTTGGTAATTTTTAATTATCCATAGATATAAAGATTTTTTTAATGGAAGACTGTACTAGAACTCTCTCAACTGCCAATTAACTCCCAAAGTGTACAATTCTATGAAACAATGTTCACAAAGAGGTCGCAGAATCTTTAATGAATGGTTAAATTATGTTCAATATGCCACAGGAATTGGTAAGATTGTTTTGTAAGGTTTACAACAGAAACAGCTTATACTTTTAAAAGTTTTGACACAAAGGAGTAAATAGGGAAAAAATTAATTTATGTTAAACACCTCAACACCCCCCCCAATTTGGATAACTGAAAATTGTATTATCCAAATCACTGAGCTGTGCAAAAATCCCAGCAAAGTGTGTGAGAATGTACACTGAACCCTTCTCCCACTCACTCCCTGATTCACTCTAGTGAACTGGCAGCAATCACCAAGAAAAGGATTCCTACTCTATGAGTATGCAAAGAGCAAGAATCTTACTAATCAATTCCCTGCCCGAAAGAAAATAGGAAAAAGCACTAAAGAGCATTCTAGTCACTCTCCTCTCTAAGGGGAATCCTCTACTGAAGGAGCAAAACATTTTAGGAGGCAGAAGCCCAGCTTTTCAATTTATCCAAGCTTAACATTTGAATCAATGTGTGTTACAGTTCTTAAAATATGGCTCTTTATTGACTGAAAATCCTATACACAGACCTTTAAAGGGCATTATCAATGTCCCAAGGGAGTGACAGCAACGTTAACACTTATGACTAGGAACAGTGTTCACGTGTACACCCATCGTAGCAGGAAAGTCGTCATCCAAATTAGTCACTTGTCACCACTGTTAACGTAGGTTTTTTAAATATTATAATCACTTTTGAAATTAGCACATGAAAAAATCAAATCTTAAACATTGCTTGATTAAATAATTCAAAATCTGCAAAGCAGAAAAGAATCCTGCTTTTAAACATACCATGCCTACAATCTTCATCGGCTTGCCCGTAGTTTTTCTGCAAAATAAAAGATATGAGATAAAATTAAGCAGTTCAAGGGCTGCTTAAAAACAGATTTTATCAGAAAGCTCAGCTTTGTTTCAAAGTCTAGTCATGAATGTTGCAAAGTTAATATTCACAGAGCAAAGCTGGTAGAGGATGTACTCTACTAGACATGACAGTGGGCCACTTAACACTCCTTCTCACCTTCTCCAACCTCAAGTCACCAGAATCTCTTCCCTGATCCTCACTCTCAGCTAATGACTTTACTGAGTCAACTTGAAGCCCTGAGAGGAGTATTCCCAGAGACTGTCACCACCCCTTCCACCCGCTTCGCAGCACACTCTCTGCCTTCCCCGTTACCAGGTGAACCACCCTGGTCCTGTCTACGGCCCCTCCCACCGCCCGTGCAGATCTGCTCCATGGCCTGCTCAAGAACATTGCTCCAGCAAGACCCTTCTATTTCTCGTTAGTTTTTTGTTTTCTGTTGGTTCAGTCCTCTAAACAAACAGGCTCTTATTTCTCTCATTTAAAAAGAATCTTTCTCTTGACTTCACTTCTCCCACCAACTACCATTCAGTTTTTTATGCCTCTTCGGGGCAAAACGGCTCAAGAATTGTCTCTATTATGTATTTAAATTCCTTCCCTCTGATCCTCTTTTTTATTTACTTATTTATTTTTGGAGGGGGAGGTAATTAGGTTTACTTATTTATTTACTTATTTATTTATTTTTAATGGAGGTACTGGGGATTGAACCCAGGACCTCATGCATGCTAGGCACACACTCTGAGCTATATCCTCCCCTCCCTGATTCTCTCTTAAACTCTCTTTTGTCAGGCTTTCACCCGCCTCTGCATGGAAGCCACTCTCATGGAGCTCAGCAATGATCTCCTTTGTATCCACTTACATACATTTACATGTACCCATTTAGACACATTGTCATTTCTCAGTCAACTCTGAATTCCCAGGACTCTATTCACAGCCATTGGCATTGTTGAACATTTCCTAATTTGCAGACCCTCTTCCCCTGGCTCCCAGGACACCTTACTGTCTTAAGTTTTCCGTAACCTCATGGGTTGCTCTTCAGGCTGCTTTGCTGCTTCTCCTCAACCTCTTAACACAAGTTCCACAAGAATAAGTCCTCAGTCCACTCCTCTTCTCTATCTACACTCCTTCCCCTGGTGACCTGACCCAAGTGTAAGATTTTATATATCATCTAAAGGCCACAGACTCTTTAGTTAGCATCTTTAGCCCAGACCTCTCCCCCAAACTTCATACCCGCATCTGCAACTGCTTACTCAACATCTCCAGCTGGGTATCTACGTGACATCTCAAACTCAGTATGCCTAAAATGAACTCTTCCCCATAAAACCTGTTCCCCATCTATGCCCTCTCACCTCAGTAGAAAGAAACTCCACTTTTCCAATTGCTCAGACAAAAAAAAAAAGTCAGAGTAAGTAAACTGTGACTGCTCTGTATCTCTCACTCCTTGCCTTTAATACGTTAGGAAATCCTCTTAGTTATACCTTCAAATCATAACCAGAACCAAACCACTTCTCACCATCTATGCTGCTACCATGTTGGTCTAAGCCACTTCATCTCTGGCCCAGATTATTCCAAAAGCTTCCAAACTAGTCTCCCTGTATCTATTCTTATCCCTTTATCCTTACAGTCTATTCTCAACACAAAGGCCAAACAATTCCTGTTAAGTCAGATCATGCCACTCCTCTGCTCAAAATCCCACAATAGCTCCCCACCTCAAGCAGAACAGAAACCAGTCCTTACAGTGACCTGGAGGCCCCACGGGATCTACCTTGTCACCCTCCGCCCTTGTGTACTTTACTCCAGCACAATGGCCTCCTAGCTCTTCCTCAAACATGGCAGGCATGCTTCTGCCTCAGGAACTTTGTGCTGACTTTGTGGAACTTTGTGTGAATCTGAAGTGTTTACAATGCCTACTGTTTATTGCCTGTCCCTCTACTAGAAAAAGTACTATGAAGGAGGGCTCTTTCTCTTTCTGTTTCTTTTTCACCAACGTGTACCAAATACCTAGACCAGCGTCCACCACACAGTGCACTCAATAAATATCTGTTGAATGAGTGAATAATCCAAAATGCTAATGCAACAGTAAAACTTTCAAGGCTTAAAAACACAGTTGCTTGCCATCAAAGATATTCAGCAATCACCAGCCACTTCACTCATCTCTTCAACCCAGGATTTGGTGATCTGTAGGGGGAGTGACCAACAAAAGTCCCCACTCAATGAGAAGGGTCACTTTACGTGATTCAGCATTAGTTTATTGACAGTGTTTACTCACCAGTTGCAAAAATGAGGCAATTCTGTAAAGAAGACTCTCGATTTTGATGCTTTCTATCTCTAGTGGACATGGCCCTGTGAAGTCGGCCATGGAGTACTGGCCAAGAGAAAGGAGGGCCTCTGTGCCGTGCTTGAGGGCCATTTCATAGTCCTGCCTCTTGAGTGATTCACACGCTTGTTCACATGCCTTCTCAGCTCTTCTGTCTTCCATGACTCAGGGACAAAAATCCTAAAGACAGGAAGAAAGAACAAATAGTAAGTTTAAAAACTTATTAATTATAAATTCTAGCCCCATCCCTATCTCAGTTGGCTTAATTATCTATCTGAATAGTTACTCTCAACCAGCCTTTGGATCAAGGTCACAGCTAAGCGGCAGCTACTGATGCTACAAAATCTATATTTCTCATGCAGTTTTAATGAAGATCCAAGCAAAATGTCAACCATAAGTCAGGATCATTCCTACAATACATCAAATTTATAAATGAGGCAAATTTATAAATGAAACATGACTCTGAATAGTGCAAAGTGTAACAAACCAGGGAGGCTTCTCTTTCTTTTTTTTAACCAGAAGGTGTAGGAATGTTTCATACCCAAACCTCCTATTTTCAGTCTTATAATTCTGTAACTGAGACTGCAGAGAATCAAAGTCTGTACCATATAGGATTTTTCCCATCAATATAAAAAAACTGGCTAAAACGCAAGTTTGAACTACCTATGAACTCAACTCAGCAAACGTTTCCTGAGTCCAGGCCCTGCGCTAGCAGCACTGAGCTCAAAGATGGAGCACATAATCGCTGCTTTCAAGAAACTCAGATTCTAGCAAGAGAGGCAGAGCACAAGTGAACAATTACAAGGAAGACATTCCATCTGCCAAAAGGCATGAGCTGGCCTTGAAAGACGAACACCAGCTCACTGTGCAGGGATGACAGGGAGGGCACACGGGAGTGCTTCAGAGAGAAGAGTGCCCGAGAAATCACCAAGGAGAGAAAGCATGCAACAGACTCCAGCTGTGTCAGACAGAAGGGAGCTATGAATGACCTCAAATGCCACAAGGAGTGAGGGCTTTATTCCATAGGCAATGGAGCACGATGGAAAGTTTTAAAGGACCATCATATAGGAGCCCTGTGAAGAACTGGTGAGAAGCAGGCACTGCCATTCATAAGAGACCACTGAACAGTCCAAGTAAGGGATACTGAGAACTCAAGCAGAGCCTCTCTGAGTTCTGTCACTCATGGAGAGGGAGGAGAAAACCTGGGCAGAGAAGACCTAAAATCCTTTCATCTGACAGTCACAACACTGGAGGATCACACTTGCCGGCCTCCTGTCCCCAGCTCCATCAAGCACGGAGACCGCTTTTCTCACCTGCTCCCACCACACTCCCTCTCCTGTTCTTCCCCACCTTCCACCTTACCTACTGGCCCCAAGGGACAGGTCTCCTCTGCTTTTCCAAAGTTTGATTTACACGACTTCACTTTTACAAAGGACCTACTTAGTACCTGTTTTCCTAACCAAAAGAAAGCCAAAGAGAATTTTCCCTTTTACAAAAAAGGGGGAAGGGCGAAAACAGCGTTCAGTGTGTTTTGCAGCAGCCCTTACAGAGGCAACTCACATTCCGAGCAGCCAGAGTGGCACCACCAAGCTCCTTCCCCAGGAGCCACACTCAGCACCTCAGCATCAAGCCACCATAGCTTTGAACCATGTCCACGAGCATCGATGCTTTATTTCGATTTACGTTATGCAACCATTAGCAAGAAGTGTCCTATGGTCACCACTTCTTCACTTTACACCATTTCAGCTTAGGAAAGGTTTTGCAGGAAGGCTCTTACTTTCAGACAGTGGGGGAAACCTGTACTTATTTGTCCTCCCGCCTCTCTCCAGCCTACACATCCACTCTGCCTGGCCTCTCTAGCTTTGATAAAGACAGCCTGGCTCCGCCCTCTGCCACTTACATACTGCAGTGAAAGCTGAGGGGAGAAATTGTTGATGGGCAGCCAAAAGGCAGCAGCAGTGAGTGAGGGCTGACGACAGACATCAGAGGTCCAAGCCCCTTTTACTTTTGAGATGCCTGGTATATCAAAAAAATGTTGTTGGGGGTGGAGGGTGGGAAGGGATAGACTGGGATTTCAAAATTGTAGAATAGATAAACAAGATTATACTGTATAGCACAGGGAAATATACACAAACTGTTATGATAACTCACAGAGAAAAAAAGTGACAATGAGTGTGTATATGTCCATGAATGACTGAAAAATTGTGCTGAACACTGGAATTTGACACAACATTGTAAAATGATTATAAGTCAATAAAAAATGTTTAAAAAAAAAAGTTGAAACACCTAAGGAATGGGATGAGGAAGAGTACAAAATGGGCTTCAGAATTTGTTAGCATTTGTTAAATATGCATGGTACATACATGGAATTCAATGTGCAATATTCTCTGCTTTTCTCTGTTCAAAATTTTTAATTAAAAAAATACCAAAACATGGTTTTTTAAATTACAGGGTATTTTAAATGTTCACACATTTAACAAATTAACACAACATAAAAAATGAAATCTAATTGTGTTATTCACAAGATTAATTCAACAAGTATTTAGAGAACTGTATCCTCAGCCTTCACATGGCCTCCCTTTAACTCCCTCAGCTCTCCCTCAGTGGGCTAGAATTCCCAGTTTGGTTTAAGGGAACATAATATTTAAGTTACGGTTGGTATTTATGCCCCTTATACAAACATGCATTAATTTGGGGAAATCAATCATCAAACAAAAATCAAAAATAATGATTTCTATATTACTATGGTGACTTCGCGACTAGCTTTAAGAATGGCTTTATAAGATAATCAGTAACTTATTACATAGGCCAGATTTGATGCTACTGACATATTGGGCTGAATAATTCTTTGTTGCAGAGGGGCTGTCCTGTGCATCGTAAGATATTTAGCAACATCTCAGGTCTCTACCCACTAGGTGCCAGTAGCTTATCTGCTGACTTATGACAACTGAAAATGTCTGTCTCCAGACACTAGCAAATTTCCCCTGGGGAGTAAAATCATTCCCGGTTGAGAACTACTGATATAAACAAGCATATACAGTTTGTTTGACAGATAACAGCAACAGTAGATGGATAAATCCATGGATTCCAAAGGCCCAAATCCTCCCTATAAAGCTCCCAGCCCACATCTAGAAGCTATTACAAAAAGAAGTAAAGTGAAAAGAAAAACTAACAATACACCAGTAAATCTTTACCAGGGAGAGAACACAGCAGTGATCGAGAGCACAGGCTCGGAGCCAGAGGACTTAGTTCAAAACTCACCAGCCCTATCACTCACCAGCTAGCCGTGTGGGCTGGGGCAAGTGACTTAACCCGGAGTATCTCAACTTGCTCTCCACTAAAATGGCAAGAAGACAATTAATACCTACCTCCTAGTGTTATTTATTGTAAGGAATAATGAAAGAATACGTGTAAAGTGCTTACAAGAATGCTCGCACACAGTAAGTGCTCAATAAGTGGTATTTCCCTAGAATAGCACTATTCTCTATCGGTATCTCCCAAGAATTCCATATTTTCAACTTATATAAAGTGGAAATCACTACTGATTTCAACATACAGTACCATATTTATAGAAAATAAAATATCACTCTATGTAACTATGTACTTTACCTACTTGACAGAGGAATTATTTTCACCTATTTTCTCCATCTCAATAAAATAATGATTATGATTATGCAATCATAATAATGATTATGATCTCCAACAGCCATTAGAGAAATAAGTGCATTTGTATGTCGCTGACAAAGACGAGCTAAAAACTGACTCTGAGAGGAGAGCACAAAGACTACTGTCAACATTAGTAACCAGACATAGTAGCCAGGGAGATCTCAGTAACATTAACATACAACAGAAGTTAGGGACAGAACTATTAACTTCAGGAGCTATAGGGGGAGATGACTTAACTTAAAGAATTAACGTCTGATACGCAGGCTCAGGTGCCTACCTCAGAAGTGGATATGAAGATTTCTACCACAATTACCTTTCTTAATCAGGTCCTGATAATCTGTTTCGAACTGAGGCCTACCTGAATCGTTAGGGGTACTTCGCTGTAGTGTGGATCTCCATACAAGGCCTCTGTTCAATTGTTTTCCCTGGTTTTTCAGAAAACAGCATGCCCTTTCTACATATACTCCAGAAGAACTTAAAACGCCTTCTCAAACATAAAATAAAAATTGCCAGTCAAAGTCAAAGTGAGACAATGTCTCAAGCCATGCTAAAATGGACTACAGAAAACAGAGAGAGATCTAGAACTATGTCTTTACAAGGCCAGCTCCCAGATACACCTCACTATGCAGCTGACACTCTTGTCTGGGTTATACAGATACACCCATATCTATAGCATATGATCCTGCCGTGTGGCCACAACAGCCTGATCCAAGGGCAGACACAGACCAAGCTGGGTCTTGTAAGGGCCTCTCCCATGGGGAAGAAGAGGCCCAGAGAATGGAGCTGCGTCATGTGAGTCACACCAGTGCAGGAAGAAGCACTCCATCCACCCACTGTGAGGTCCTCCCCTACTGCCTTGATTCTTTCTCTTCCTGTTAAAAATTATCCAACTCTCACCAAAAGAATATAAAATACTATTACTTTCTGCAAACTCCTACCCCTGTGGGGAAAAAACTTGGGAGGATGTAACTTCACAGGCAGAAAAGCTGGAATCAGAAACCAAGATTCTAATCCAAATCCTTTAAGTCCTGTGATCTGTTGCTGACTTGCAAAAAGAAACTAATATCACATTAGTTCTTTTGGCCACCCAGTATCCATTTCTTTTTCTGGTAATAAGAGCCCCAAATTTCCCTCTGAGTATTCACCTCTCCCCGACTCTCAATGTGGTTTCTGAAGAGCTGATTCCACCAGAGAGCCAAGAGTGGCATGTGACCAGAATCGGCCAATCCTGAGCCTCACAGCCCCTAACACAGGGATTGATTGAGGGTAAGACATGTGACCCCATAAGCACCAATGAGACAACATGAGGCTTTTGCTGAGGCTTCTGGGAAAAAGACAGGCACTCTTTTCTACTGAATCTAAAATCTGAGAGGCTACAGGGGTTGAATATGCTGTGGCCATTTTTTTTAACATATAGTGCCTATAACTTAAGTCTATATAGGAAAAGGCAGAGTTGATTCATGGGGGGAACCTGAGTCCTAAAGACTCCACTTGAGCCCTGAATCCAGCTAGCT